AAATATCCAGGCCTGAACGTTATGCAAATGTACATAATGATATTGCTAAAGAGGCTGACTTGCCTGTGTAGCCTGGACTGTACCAACTGGCAGGCGATATCCCAGTATTTTTCTGGAAGGATTCTTCCTCCAGGCTGTTTCCTGTTAGATGATGGTCAAACACTTACAGGCTAATTTATTTTTCTGTTGCTCAGCTGCACAAAACAATCTCTTATCTCATGGTTTATAAGCATGCTACTTAAATATTTGCAAGTGCTATTCAGTTGTCTGGAACAGTATGAAAAGCTCTTCATACATGTGTGAAGCAGCACACAGATATGATCCTGGAACAAGCTCAACTTTGAGTGGAGGAACAGGAGAACATTTTATGAAAGATAGTATTACTGAAGCTATGTTCTTGAAGAGCAGTCAGGAGTATACTATTTTAATTCTTCAAGCTGAAGTGTCCAAATCTAAGAATGTTTAGTATTAGTTACTTTTATATAGCAAAATACGCGTGTCCAAAAGTGTTAGCACTGTACAAAGTCAGTGCAGACTTCTGCTGTTCCTCATAGTCCTTTATTCTCAATACCTCAGAGAGAGAACAGTTTAAAAAAAATGATAAAAAAAAAAAAAGTGAGGAACAGAAACATCTGTAAATCAAGGTATGATTTTCAAGATGAAAAATCACACATAATTCATAATTTTAAAAAAGCCTAAATCATTTACAGAACTGACTGAATTTATCTCTAAAATGGGGAAATGCTGGCATACATATGTAGGGGAGATTTTCCATCTGAGATGATACTTGTTTGAAGTATTGTGAGAACAGGAAAAGCAGCCTTTGAAATGCAGCAAGCATCTCTTTGAATTCACATAGAATTCTATGTGATTCTATTCTTTTGTACAGGAAAATGAGGGACAGTAACACTGTCCCTCTATTAAGCAATAGCTGTTTTATTATTTTTCTCTTATAAAGTTTGTGTAAGACTGAAGGAAGGTGCTAAGGATCAAGGTCAATCTGTCAATTTGAGACAGGACGACATCTCTTTTTACTGGTGATATAAAAAAGATGTTCCAAGAGAGACAACTGACTCCTTATCATAGCTGACTGAAGAGAAATCAATAGTGTGAATCCTATTAAGACTGGGGAATAAATAAGTACCAAAACAATCTGGCTTCCCAAATCAGGAGTTCAATATTAGCAAGCAAGCCACTGAGATCAGGAGATCTCTGCCATGCTACAGCGTCACTCCCCCTGGAACAGCTGCAGCATTTACACTACCTTAAAACACAGTGAGCAACAAAGCAGCCTTTCTGAGCTCTGTTAGAGTAGCACTGTGGCCACACTTGCGATTTTCCTATTCTCTCCCACATCCTTTCTGTCTCTCCGTCTGCTTAAAAGTTAGCTGGAAAGCCTGTGGGAAAGTGATAGTATCTTACACCTCTTAGCATACCCTACAGAAGTACATCTTCATGTGGTTCTTCAGTATAAAATGTATTACTTGCATTAAATGCACATACATTCTTTTAAAACCATAGATCTTTTGGAGTCTTCCCACAACAGACCAACACCTCTGAATCCCTTTTCACAGAAACAAAGAGAATTTAAGTTCATTTTTTCCACAGTGAAAAAATCATGAAAGACTCTTATGAATCAATTAAACACTATGCTCAGGGGAATTGGGCTGCTACTGGTAGTTGGCATGCACAGTGTTTTAGTACTTAAGCTTTTAAGGAGCTTGGGGAATGGAATGCTGACAATAAGTAATTTACAATTATCCATGCTGTTACCTGTTAATGTTAAAAACGCTTTTTAGACAATGACTTTTCCTCTTAGTGACTCCCTGTTAGGGTACTGAAAATCACAGAATTAAATATAAAATCTGAATAATTTCCTAATTCAGGTTTAACACAGATTATGTCACATGTCAGCAGAACAGAAAATGCAATTCTGACTCGCTGATGTCAAATGGCAGATCTCCAAATGCTCAATCCCTCCCATCTGGGGCTTCCTTCATCTTGTTCATTTTACTTTCTAGTGAGTCTAGCACTTGCTAGAAAAACAAAATAATGAATGCCAGATAACACTTCTGCTGCTTATTGGTGCTGCGCCGACTATCCAGATACAAGGTCTTCAAGTAATTTTTCATAGATGTGCCTAGTTATTAATGTTCTTGACCTCTATGGCATATCTCTAACTGAAGCATCTGGTAGCCATTGTAAAACTCTGTAAAGTGGTCTGCACAGCCATGGTACAGACTATTGCAAAACATTTCATGGCTTGTCAGAAATCTTAGACTGGAACAGGTCAGGGAACATAAAGGTTTAGTGGGTTAATAAAACTACAAGAAAATGGTTGTGCAGATGTGACTTACTATAGTTCTGCCTCTCATTTCCTGACTTTTAAGTCTTCCCTTAAAAATTCTCTGTTCAGGCTCACAACACTTATGTGTAAGCACATGACATTCTTACCTGTTTTCAGGAAGATTAGCTAGAAACAGTCTGTGTTCATGGTTTTTAAATCTGACAATTGCACGGAAAAGGCCACACTTAGGTTTAGCAAGCCAAGGCTGTCCTTGTAATGGAAGGAGAAGCTGTTAACGTATACCAGCCAGGGTGAAGAGTAATTCTTGGGCGTGTGAATTGTTATAGCTCTTACAATCTCCTACACCTTTTCATAGGCAGGTTTGATACAGGGCTCTGACTCTTGCTGTAGCTTGTCCCAGTTTTTCGTTTTGGATAACTGCCATGACGTTATAAATAGACCACACTGATAGGTCCTATACTCTGCTAAACCACACAGGTCTGGGTGCTTTCAGATATAGCTTTCAAAGTTCAAAGTACTGCTTGCTGCCAAACTAATTTTCTCTCCATAGCAAAGGAATTTTTTAACTGCTCTTCTTCTGTGGTTTATAGGAGAGTTAAAGCAAAGAGTCCTTAAATGCACCCTCACCCAGATTTAATCAGACTTTGCCTATTTTCACATGCAGTACTCCAGCTCAGAGTGACTTCAATTAAACAGTCTCTTGTAGTGTATGTGGAGAACTAAGCCAATGTTCTCCCAGGCAAGATTAAATGCCAGTATTCAGTCCTTATTCCAGGTGGTTAGACAAGCAGCTAAGAGTCCATCAAAGCAACTGACTCTAGACTGCAGCATAATAGCTTAGGCAGTCATTTGACAAGGCGTGAACGACTTTACCCAGTGCAGGGTTTGGAATATATCATCATAAATTTGTGTCAGGCAAAGCTGGATTTGTGCTCAGCTCATCCAACCAATGCTCTCCTAATGCCAAATCAAACTGGCCTAGGCATGGCCCTTTTCACCGTGCTGTTCTGTGGAAGCTGATTCATTACCAGAAACATCCTAAAGGTATTTTATGTTTGTATTTCCAAATTCTCTGTCCATTTCCTACCAAAAAAAAAAAACAACAACACTTGGCTCTTTCTTACCTTATCTACAGCTGGAGAAAGATTTCTGGTTTTTTTTTGTCTTTTTTTTGTTGTTTTTTTTTTTCTGGCCTGCACAGTTCCCCTTGAACTCACACCTTTTAATCAAGTAAAGGAAAGAGGAGCTCTATATTCATCTCTTTGGCCTCACTGCAAAGACATACAAATTTTAAGTGTACTATTTCTGGTGATAATGGAAAGATTCTATTAGGAGAGCAGAAGAATTTATGGTTACTCTTCTGGCACATCCCAGAGAAGGAGTCTGCATTAACCATTGCTCAACAGCTCAGAACTAGCAAAGCTGAAAAACGCCATTCCCTGTAGTTCACGTAGCAAGAAGTAACACTAGCACTGTTTATGTGAAACGCCTCTTTGTATCCTCACAGACCCTAAGGGTACACATTTATCAGAAAATATGCAGATAGGGAAAGATCTAAACACACCCACCATGTTTTCACTGACATTATCACTATGAAAGTGTAATATTTTCTAAGCCCATTTCTACTTTTTCAAAGTGATAGCAAAAATGTTTGCTTTCTGGAGCACTTAGCGTGATCGTTTTCTCATTTTTGCTTTGTGCTTTCTGAATAGTTCCATAATATATAATAAACTAAGCATGACATTAAGGGATGTCATTTACAACCCAAATGCATGTGCATAACCATTTTCTTTTGAATACAGTATGTAAACTGCAGAGCACTGTGATCGTTTGAGATATTCTACTGGTACTATTAAGTCATCTGTAAGCGACTCGGCTTTAGTAATATTTCAGTATATAATTATTGCGTGTGTGTGTGTCATCCCACTTTGGCAGCTATGAAGTAAAGAGTTTGTTGTCTAGCAAGTTTCTCTCTGCTGCCTAATTTCAGATGTAACAAACCCTGTAAGGCTGCAGTACTCCAGCGCTGTACTTATCTGTGCTTTCCAACAGCTGAGCAAACCGGATGACTGAAGAAGGGTGTTTTTGCGTTTTTAGGATAGTTTTGAGCTTGAATATAGTTTTACTCGTTTGGCAGATCAGTCTCTTTGGATGTTGTTGAAGTGTCAGTGGGCCCTAAACCTGAACTTCATTCGTACCTTTCGGAGGTGCCTTCTTTATACTGAAATGCAAGTTTTGTAAACAGGGTAAGTTCTCAGAGCTTCTGTGGGTGTTCGGTGTAGGTGTGATGCTTTTGTGGAGAATGGAATCTGCTGAACTTTCTTCACTGAATATATCTTTCAACTGGAGAATGCTTTTCTATTGTGCTTGTTGCTGTTTTTCAAATTTATAAATCTGTCTTTCTCCCAAGATGTGCCACATGGACTCCTTAGGCATTCAGAAGTTATGAAATATGTCATTAATTTCATTTATACTTCTCGGCCTGATGTATTGTGAAACTCCCTAATTTCTGTGGTAAGGGTGTCTAAAATATACTGACATACAGGCTAACCTTAAAAAGCATTGTCTTCTCCTACTGAAAGGTTCAGTCACTGTAGTGACTCTCAAAAGCAGAATACCTGGCTGAGCAGAATAGTCTTTATTTCAACTCACTAAAATTTCTTCTTTTTATTACATTTGGAGATAAGCAGGTCAATAATTTTAAAGGGCTTTCCACACAAAACAAAATTGCTTTTCACAGACACTTTTAAAATTTCTGTTAGGAAAAACCTTCATAGGAAAAGAACAAATTTCTCACCAGGAAGAAAATGACTTTTCTGTAGTGCCTGAGGTTTACTACAGCCCTTCAAAAGTTAGAAAATCTTACAGATAGTTTGAAAATCTTACAGAAAGGTGAATCTCTTTTTGTCAAGTGTGATTCCTGCCGATTGGATTTATATACCATAAATAGTGCACAAAATTCAAAATGGAGTTTTACTACCGTTCCTCTGGGAAAGGGGATTTCTTTTTATGAGTTAGTAAGAATTAGTTCATAGGTGCTAGAAAGCATCACGGTCTGTGCCGTGGGTGTTTGAAGGGTCCTGTGAATGAAACAGCTATTGGTAATCACTTCCTCTCCTCTGCCCCTAAGGAAGTAGAGACCTTTGTGCCATGATAGCATGGGTAAATGTTTCTTCTTATTTGTAGGATTCTCTTTTTAGCCACTGTGTTTATACTGTCATTGATCTATAGAGATAATAATATGTATGATTTATCTTTGTCTCAGGTAAGCACAAGGTGAGTCTGTGATAGCAAGTAACGTACTGTAAAAGTGGCAGAGTCCCATTCATCATTACAGATAAATGTCCTTTCCTTATCCCCACCATGCTGGAGGTGACATACCAAGTCCTCGATGTCCTCAGAATCCTCCCCAAAATAATTCTTACTACTAAAATTAACACGGTATTTTTGTCTCACTGCCCACTTCAAATAAACCGCTTCTGTGACAGCCTGTAAGCAAGGATTAACCAGATAATGAAAGAAAAACGTAGTTACAACAAAAGATGACATTCTGTATCAGGGTTACATAGGCTACAGTGCTTATTATCTGACATTCTCCAGACTGTTGCACTGTTTTTCTCTGTACCTCGTAGATTACATAAAATGGTAGTGCACAGCAAGATGATGATGTCATTAAACTAACAAGACAGAGGGAGGTAAGAAGCTGATAAGCATAAAAATAATCTATTAACTTTCATGAGATTTGCATGGGTATAGCTAAACAGGAACTGAGTTCTGTAGGAGATACTGTCAAAAGCTTAGGCTCAGTTTTCATCTAGACATGCAATTAATCGTGATTAAAAATGAGAAGCAGACGCTACTTCAGCACTGTAGCAAGGTACTTCTACCATTGTGCCTGCAGTTATTTACTTGTGCGCGCTCTGACATCTCATTTAAAATAGTCTCTGTGGCTGAGAGTCCAGTCGTAGATGTGCCTTTGAAAGCAGTAGTCCATGTATTAAAAAATTAACCTTTCCTCTTTTCCTCCCTAAATTGCTTCATTAAGCAATTTACCCTTTTTATTATTACCTTTGACTATTTTCACCTCTCTAAATGTCTAAAATATCTGCAGTGAAAATTAGCTGCAGGTGGGGCTTTTGTCTTGCTCCCCCTGTAGATGGCCCATGCAGAAATGTGGTGCCGTATCTGAGCAGCTCTAGCATTGCTCACAAATCAAAGTCTCTTCGCTGTGTCCGTTGTGTTTTACAGATTTTAACTTTGGTCTTTATTTTCTCCAACTCTTGCAGTTGCTCCCGCTGACCCCTCTAATTTTGACACGTGCCAGCTGCATCCCTCTTAACTTGGCATCACATTTTGCTGACTCATTTTTTGACCTACTGGTCTGTTTCCAACTATTCTTTTCCTATAAAGTTCCTTCTTTTGTAAAGCTGTTTAATGCCCATCTCCATCTTATTGTAGTCCCCTATAATTGATTTATGTCAAATACCACATTCATCTCTTCCTCCGGATGGGAAATGTCTTTACTCTGCTCATAAACTGCTGTGTATTCTAAAATCACTTGGTAAGAAGTAAATCGCAGAATTATTTATGAACTAAGCACAACAACAGTAACTTGCTTTAGCTGTGCTAAGTTAAAATGTTTATCTGTCTATGAACTCATACAACATGTGTCTGAAAACTATATGAACTGCATTTTCAAAGGCACGGACAAAACTTTTTTCCTACTTCAAATATGTAATGCCCTAGTTCAGTTTTTCTGTTCATTAATTGTGGTGAAAGCTACCATTTCCTTTGTATGCAAGTGTACTAAGTTAATCAAATTTGTCCTTTATAAATTATTTCTATAAATATTGTAATGTGAGTTCTTAGGACATGCATTCACATGGCATATTTCTGAGTGGCACTGGTGTGATGTCACATCTCTCTTGTAAACATGTCTAACAGTGGTAGAAAACACAAAATTTTATTTTCATGTTTTTTAAGCCAACCCTTTCAAGTTAGTACTTTCCAATATTTCAGATTTCTTCTCTGTTTGGGTTAGTGAAAATAAATTACAACGGCACTTCCATGTGTTTGGGCCTTATAAATTCTCAGTTTTCTGTATTTGGGATGGCAAATTCCTATATGTAAACATCAATCATATATACATTAGCGGCTTTATATTCAAATATTTGATATGCCTGTCTCCTTTTCCACACTAGGTGTCTTTTCAAACATGCTTCACAATCTGCTTTCTGTATCTTGAGACAGAAGTAGAAGGTTTGTATGTACATTCATCACATTAAGGGAAGTGGATGTAGGAAAGGAAAAACATGTAGTTCTTTTTGTTCAATCCTGCATGCAAATGATTTTTATAAAATCCTTGGGTATGGAGGGCATTGCCCTGATTTGCTTGAGAATGGAACCATGACCTCACAAAACTTAGTGTTTTTACACTTAGTGAATTTTAAAGGATCCTAAATTCATATTGTTTGCTTCCAGGGTATCGTTGGTGATTTAAAATGATGCCCTTGAGTATTATGTTGAGAAAGAGGAAGATAATTATTCTTCATTAATTACAGAATTCCTATTATGAGCATTTATAAGCAGATAACATGTATTAACATCTGTTTATGTTATGTGCTGTTGATCATTTCCATATAGCAGAGTCATGACTTTTTTTTTTTCCCCAAAGAAATGTTGAGAAATGTTGAGAGCATACAAAAGTCCTTGATGTCGTCCATGTGACCATTTGTTTAGCTGAGTTCAGGCTGGACACAGTATTTAGAGTCTGACTGTTGCTTCTGCTATTCTAATGCATTCAAAAAGTTCAGGGCTTTTTCTGTGTTCACTACCCTTTGTGTATGAAACCTCCCTTCCCGTATCATACCTGCTGCACAGACCTTTCTGTAATTGGCCACTTTTCTAAAGTTAAATTCTTCAAGAACTGACTGCTTAGAATAATTGTAAATATGCACACATTATAGGGGAACTTACGAAAGCCAAAGAGAACATTGTGCTGTTTGCATTTCTCTATATAAGATATACTGGCATTGTGACTGACAAATGCCCTTCAGTTTAATTTGAGCACATACTTGAAGTTACAGTTCTCCTGGATTTATGGTGTGGATTTTCCACTCATAATGGAACTTCTACAATGTAATTTAATCAGTCTTGACTATAACCCTCCAGCTTTGACACATAGAATAACATGTATGTGCCTAATAACTGAAAGATGAAAAGATATTAAGAGTTGTGTGCTCACATGTGAAGATTGTAAACTCTTGGTCACTAAACCTTCTTGAAATGTACAAGTGGTAAGTAACTGTGATTCTATCTACTGCAGAAATATGATTAAAGATAACAAAGAAGTTGTTCCACTAATGGGCAAGAAAACAAATCCATCTGGTAATCCCCCTTCAAACCAGCAAGAGAAAAAGCCAACTGAGAGCACTCCCACAAAGAAAAGGTAGGACTCTCACTCACTCTAAAACATTACAACTCCTTGTTATATCTACTGTAGTAGATATTTGCACTACAATATCACTAACATCTTTATTCATGCTATATATATGGATGAGATAGACCTGATAAACAGAAGGTGCCTTCAAAAAATCATGTGCTTATACTGTTTGTAAGTGGAAGAGTATCCTGCTTACTTAGACATACAATGTGTTCACCCTGATGGGACAAATACATAACCCCTATCCTAGAGACATCAGACTCAAGCACCAGTCTAAGTTAACGTCTCCTATCAGGCAGGCTTTCTGCATCCAATCTATATACCTGTATAAACTTACACAATTGTTGGCAATTAATGGTCAGCATTTCAATAAGTGATCACATGGCAGGGTACACCAGGTTTCATATAAAAGATACTGGCCTGAAAAAAAGGGACATTTCAAGTTTAGCATCACATGAGAATGTAAAGGATTACGGGGAGACAGAGGTGGAATTAAAGAATAAGGGCTGGGTAGAGCAGGAGGTTTGGGAAATCCTATTACAAACAGAAACCTGAATTCACTCTATTTTTTCATAATTCTGATTAATGAGATTTCTTGTTTTATAAAATATTAACTTTAATTCATATTTTATGCTAGAGAATTAATACAATGATTAAGGGTTTGAATTTAATATGAATAGAGAAATAGAAGCAGTAATTCATCCATGATACTATGTTATTGAAACTACCTAAGTTACTGTAGACTGAGGATGGATTTTCATTCATAAACTTTTCACTCTGTGGCTAATTACTAGCTATTATAGTAATTTTTGAACCTCTGAAGGCCTAGGCAATTGTGGCTGTTCTGACATTTATAATTTCTTAATAATCAGAGGAATCACTTTCTACAGAAAAGGTGTCGTAAGTTATTTGAGACCCACTGCCTGGGTGGCCCAATTTCTCCTCTTGTCATTAAATGTAAAAAGAGAAGCTCTTCATTTGAATCGCTGCACTTTGCTTGTAGAATGGGGAGATTGAGGTATCTGAACAGCTCACAATGCACTTAGTACTCCAAAAATGGGCGATTCCATGGAAGATTTATAGTTAAAACAAATATTGGCAAACAGTGGCAAATACTACCCTTCACTTAGTTATCCCCTATCTCCCATTTGGTTTTGTGGCATCAGTAACAGTAACCTTGGGGATTTTGCCATCTCTCTACCAGCAGCTCAGGGTGTGACCACCAACATTCCTGGAGTATAAGGAATGAAGATCACGTGAATTTTAATGCAGTGGTTTAACGTGTTCTATTAATTACATGTTTCGATGCTGCTGCTGTACTTCTGTTGCTTCAAAATGCTTCCTTCTGGTATGCTGTGCCACTAAGCAGCTAGTGCATCTCCATGGGTAGCATTTCTCATTTGGTAAATGTATTGGCCATGTGTACTTTATGAAAAGACAGTGACTTCCCCTTCTTGAAGCTGCTGGTATTTGGGTGGACTAGCAGTATGTAATTAAGCACAGGAAAACCAACACGTACGCTGGGGAGGAGTGCTGCCAACGTTGTCGGAGCCTGATTATGTTTGTGGGCAGTGTTCCTGACAGTGTGCACCATGGCCACGTAAGCACTTGGTTATTTTTTGGCAATTGTCCACTTTGCGTGGTGGTTTTTGTTTTCCCTCCCCTTCCCCCCATGTTATCGCCATGTAACCCACATGCCAGTATAGGTTAGGTATGTCAGCCTCCAAAACAGGGCCTACTTCATAGCTGTTGTATAGCTTTTGGTTGCACATGAACACACTCCTGGGAGAGACATCAGCCTGTAGCACACCATCTCCTCCTGGTGCTGAGCCAAGTGCAGGTGGGACGGTCCAGCTAAGCCTGAAGTGCAGCACTTCTGGCTTTCTGTAGATTCACTGTAGCCTCCAACAGTTGTTGGGACAGATCCTGCACATCATAGCCAGGGAATGCAAAAGCAGGATGAACCCATGGTGTTTTCACCCCTCGTCAGTCTCTCTGCCAGGATCTCTGTGAAACAACAGTGATTTACAGCAGCTGTGAACCTGGTGAGTGTGGTAGAAGTGATGGCAATGGTCCTGTTTCTGTCTAGTTTTTTTCCTGTGCTCTGAGGAGCACTCTATGCCTAGGTAATTTCAGGGACACTGTCGTGCTAGGCAGAAGCTGCACATCTTGAATGTTAAAAGGTATATAAGTTTAAACACCTACATGCAGTGAATTAACACTGGGATCCCCAAGACATTGGAAAATGATATGAACTAGGGCCATTATTAGATCATGCTAGTTTTAGCAGATATCAGTGGGTTGTTCAGTAGTGTCCTAATAACATAAAGCATTTTAGCATCAGTATGTGTACTTTGATTCAACAGGATTCTTTGGGGGAGATGCAGTTAAATGAAAGGAAGAAATACCCTAGGGACTAAACCACAAATATTAGGTGAATTGGAGATATTTTTCAGGTGACTGATATGTAAGACAGTTGCTGAATGAGAAGCCTTGTGGGAGTTACTACATTCACCACTGAAACTCCCCTGTCTTAGATGAAATGTAGAGTGGATTAATGAGATCTAGTAATACCAACCCATTGACTTTGCCTCCCAACTCTGCAGGCTTTTAAAAGGCTAAATCTTACAATTCTTCTCATATTCGCTTTTCTGTGTTGTTTCAAATTTCATTTCTTTTTCCTATAAATAGTTATTCGTTAGCTAGACATTGTTAAATGTCATGCACTGACTGGCAAGATTCAGTTCTGGAGGGTGAATATGTCTTATGTCATTAAACATGTGACCTTTCAAACTTTCTGATTTAATGTTTATCACTGCTGATAGGTTTGGAATGATCTATTTTGATGGCTCCTGGCTGGAGAAATAGGGGCTGCAGTAGAAGGGCGAGCATATTAACATGTCTCTGTGTGTATGCATATATGTATGTCTGTTCAATAAATGTATGGCATTGCATTTAGCGCTTTGTACAGAAGGCAGGTGCAAGGCTGTTTTTAGGCTGATGGTGTAGTGGCTTAGACATGTCAGGACCTGATGCCATGCCTCCTAAAAAAAACTTGGGATCTTCTGCCCGTCTGCCAGCATGTAAGTACTGAATGCTGCCTAAATGTTGGAGTCTGGGATCCTCCCAGGCAAAAGTAGACAAGTCTCTTTCCATCATCTTATTAGATACAATACCAGCAAATTTAAACTGTCAGCATTGTCCCAGGCATTTACATGCACTGCTTTGTTTATTTTATGGTTCAGTTTGCTTTTTTTAACTAATATTTTTAATGCAATGTGTTCAACAGTTCACACTTCTTTCTGGAGATTGATGGTTTTGAAAGCAATGCAACTCCAAATAATACATCTCCCCCTGTGTTTTCAAAACCAATGGATTCAAATATTCGTCCATGGTAAGTTATAGATGCATATTCAGTAGTCATATTGCAAATATATCTATTTTATTTTCAACAGCTACTCCATATTTCTCCTTATATTTCAGAGCTAAAATTTCTCATGGCTTTTCATAGATTTTGGTCACTTTAAAGACAAAACTCCATTGGAGGTCTGTTGTTGCTAGATAATTTATCTTTATCTGCTGCTATCATTCACATCAAATAAATCAGGCCTCAGATTTGAATTAATTTAAAATCAATACTGTCTTCTTTTTTTTTTTTTTCTAAGCCCCTTATTTGGGATATGTTAGTACAAATGCCATGCACACCTTTGTGTGTTTTCTGCTAGGTGAAAACCACGGCTTAATTTAGTAAACCACATTCCCAGCTCTGTGTGCTAATATCCTTGCTCTGTTGCTCATTAACTACCAAACAACATGAAGATACTGAGTCTGAGATGTTTAAGGCAGCCATTTATGCTGAATGAATAGAGAAAAAAATGTGTCTGGGAAGAGCACACCTAATTTTTAAAAATTGGAGTGGTACTAAAAGCCAGTGATTATGAATACCGGAAAATGTATCAATGTTAGCATAAACTCAGAATTATCAAATGTTTTTTTGTTTGATGGATGTCTGGTCAGCTTTTTGGAATTAGCTGACCAATTTATTTTGGTTTCAAAGGAAAAGCATCAAAGTTTCTGCCTCTCATTCAGGGACAAACCTGCACAAGACACGTGTATGCTTTGTCACTAGATTCCTCACGGTTTTCTGCAGAGAAGTGATGGACTGAATAAGAATGGACTCTGAGCAACCACCTTTGTTTCAAATAAATATCTGCAGGGCAATGTTAAATGCTTGCATTTTTGTCCATACATCCACTTTGTCAATAGCTAATAGTTTAGTCTCCCGAAGTTATTAACTGGTGATTGTTCATCAAATCTGAACATTATAGAAAACAAAATTATAAGTAAAAAAAAATTGCTATCAATTCATTTTTAAGTCAGATCTGCCTTTAGGAATGTCTGGAAATGGCATAAGTAATTACAAAATACTAATGGCACCGAGATCCTTTAAATTTATTACTGAAATATGTATTTAGAGCCCAGTCTTTGATTTCTTTTAGCTGAGGCTTCCATCTCAGTCAGCTGCAAAATGTTCTTGCGTTGCCTGCAGTGTACTGCGTAGTAAATGTTTAAATCACTTTCATTGTTTGTTTGCAACCCATACTGATTTAGCACTTGTTTTGTGACAGATGACAAATTCAGGATGTGAAAAGGAAGAATGTAAGCTTCAAGGTGCAGCACTAAGGATGTTGCATAACAAGCACTGAACATTAAAAAAAAATTAAAAAATAAAAATCCCACAGATAATGAAATAACATAGTAAAATAAGATAGTAAAATGTATGAAATAACATAGTAAAACAAAACATGTGTTTTTCCTAAGGATTTTTAAAATATAATAAAGTATTTTGGGTCTCACCCTTCGTACCACTCACTTGAATATATACAAGGGAGATAAAATGATAAAATTAATATCAGTGTCAAATTAGATTAATTTCAGTTCTACTGTAGATACGGCTTCCTAGCATTGACTGATTCATCAAGCAATTTGGCAAAATGTCTTCCAATATCTTCTTGACTTAGCAGTTATGCTTTTTGTTTTCTGCAGTGCATCTGGAAATGGGGAAGATATGGATTCCCCACAGTCTCTTCAGGATGATGTGACTGAATATAGCCCTAATGTAGACAGTTGGTGAGTAGTACATTTTCTACAGATTAAGTCTATGACAGGGTAGATATCACCAATTTTGTTTGACATTTTTCAGAAAAAAGATACCTATGCCTTTCTTAGTTTTCAATAATTAAACTTTGAAATGAACAACTCTAACTTGTGCTTTTCTCAAATCTAATATTTAGTATGAGGATTCTTCGTATATAATTTCTGTTTCATAGATGACAACACAGGACCTAAACCCTTATGCACAACAAGGCATGAGAAAATTCCCAGAAATCAGTATTGTGTACCAACCATACAATGTACAATGTATTTTTCCTTCAAAAGCCAACTCTCATAGGCTAGAAAGCATTTCTTTTAGAGGTGAAACATTGCTCTCTATTTCAGTCAGTATTAAGAAATCTTTGTTAGCTTGATGGAATGAACAAAATGTCCTTTCTTAACACTTCTGAGGACTAGTAATCCTGATAGCTAATCTCACTGTGAAAAGAAGATATATAGCTGATGCATTAATGAGGCTTCCAAAGGAAGTCAGCTGGGAGTATTTCTGACTGGGGGTAAAGTATTAAATCATTCCAGAATAACGTATGACCAGGAAAGTTGTGTAAGAAGACGTGAGATTAAAAACAATCTTATGCTGTGAGTGGGATGGGTGCAGCTGGAGTGCAGCATCAGATAACTTCAGGCACTGAAGTCATAAAGTTGTAGACGGGTCAGAGAAGCATGGAGGGGAGTAATACTGAAGGCAATATGAAGAAAAGTGGAAAGAAGCATATTCATTAGTGTTTCTCAGCCTTTGTTATAGAAAAATGGACAAACTGAGAAAAATGCAAAACAAAATTACTTGAAAAATGTACATTGTAATAAAAAAGCTCTCAATAGCCACTTCTCTGCAAATAAGCAACCTACATAAACGTAGATCTATGCCAAGTTTTATATATATATACATGTATATATATATATATATGGGAATAGGGCCAGTATATGTAATCTGGTGTAAGTAATTGCATTTCTTCTTCCTCTTGTGCAGAAAATAAAATAAACCCAAGTAAACTGATTCAGCAATTTCATTATTATTTTTGATAATTCAGTGCTAACATACCACAAGGTCCTGAGCAGACAAGTGCCCGGAAGAAGTTGAAAAGATACATATTTCGAGCAGTATCTGAGGGAAATGTGGAAGAATTGCAAGGTCTGCTCGCAGAGCTGAAGGAACGATCAAATGCATGTACAAACATGACTGTGCCAGGTAAGCAGTGGAGTTACCTGAAGGAATACTGATACCACTTCCGGCAGCATAGTATAGTCTAAAACTAGGAAACGTAGCAGCTACTTGCAAGTGAATTTGAAGTCACTTGTTTTCAATTAAATATATGCCATTTCTTATTTCTAAATGAAAGATTAAGATACTCAAAAAGCTACCTCCTTGCTGTCTCTGAGGCAACACTGGAGAATATTTGTCCACTGTTTATGATATGCTGAGGGTCTATCTGCACTGTATTCCCAGAGCCATACGTAAGTTAGCCTTTTGCAGTATGGGATTAAAAGCTGATGTCTCTACCACCCTGTAGTCAGTCTAATTGCAGTATAGAGAGGGTTTGTGATGTATGTTGGCATGGCAGAGTGGGTAGGGAAGTTAGGAAAGGGTTTGGGGTTTGTCTGCATTTACCATGGCAGTGGGGTATCTGAAAAAGAAACCAAATACACTGGCCTCCTTATAAATCAGTACCACATCTCTGAAAGTGTCATCTCACAAAATAGCTCAAATAGAGAGTGAATAAGGAGTAATTGCTTGCTAAATAATATCATATATATTCCCCAGGTCCCACCCCAAATAAACAAAAGATTAGAATTATTTTCCTTCCACTTAATAAATAATGAAGCCTAACATGATCTAATCTCTAAATTTACTCGTACAGATTATCTGATGAAAAAATTCACAGCTTCAGATACTGGCAAAACATGTCTGATGAAAGCTCTACTGAACATCAACCAAAACACAAATGAGATCGTGAATATGCTACTCTCCTTTGCAGAAGAAAATGGTATTTTGGAGAGGTTTATCAATGCAGCATACACAGAAGAGGCCTATAAAGGTACTGCCATCTGATACCAGTTCAGGAATATGGTTAAATATACCATCAATAAATGTAATGTTTTCTTCCAACATTCTAAGAATGGTTTCAATTCCTGAAACAACTTTGATTCATTGTTATTGGTGCTATCTGTTGTGAAACATCATTAATGTTTCATAATGTGCTTGAGAGATTTCACACTAAATACCTGCATCTGCTGTTTCAGGCCAGACAGCTCTAAATATTGCCATTGAAAGAAGACAATATGAAATCACTCAGAGCCTTATAGAAAAAGGAGCTGATGTCAATGCTCACGCCCAGGGTATTTTCTTTAATCCCAAACATAAGCATGAAGGCTTTTATTTCGGTAAGTAGAAACGTGATCTCTCTCCAAAAGGCAGGAAGGAATACCCAAACAAGTAAGTCAGTATGGAAGATGGGCAAGTGTGGATCTTTACTATTAGCTGACCTATATTAAGAAAGTCACATCACAAGATAGGAAAATGTCACAGTACCTTTTGTAAGGTAACTTGTCAGAGTGCAATGTATTATAAACACTCAGAAATACTTGTAAAACAATTATTAAATGCTGAATAGCAAATAAATTGGCATAAATTTGAATCTGAAGATTGTCTCCAAACAATGTTTTCTTGCAAATGAAGTTTTTCTAAAGCAAAAGCCAAATTAAAATTAATCAATATTTAAATGTGCTTTCAAATACTAAGATGCTTAACATAGTCAATTCTATAATACAATTTTAATGCTTGTAATAAAACATGAACAGATGTTACATTTTATAATTTTGTAGGTGAAACTGCACTGGCGTTAGCTGCATGTACCAATCAACCAGACATAATTCAGCTGTTAATGGACAATACCAGGACTAATATTACTTCTCAGGATTCCAGAGGAAACAATATCTTGCATGCATTAGTTACTGTTGCGGAGGACTTTAAAACTCAGAATGACTTTGTAATCAGAATGTATGATATGATTTTGTTGAAAAGTAAAGACAGAAATTTGGAAACAGCAAGGAACAAGGATGGTTTGACACCACTACAATTAGCTGCAAAAACTGGGAAATTAGAGGTAAGTATTAGTTCAGTAGTATCTAAGAGAAATTAAATATAGAGAGAGTCAAGGCCAACCATGTACTCAGACATTAGTGCTCTAGCATGTAGTTTTCCATGCTGGTTATGCTGTACTATGTATCAGTAGTATTCAGTGAGATAATTTTGCTCAACATAAAAGCAAAAATTTCTATTGCAGTGTTGCTTCTGCTCTTCAAGGTTTTTCTCTGACAATACCTTTCTGTATCCATGCTATTTAAAAACAGCCTTGCAAACCTTTGTATTGTACTGAAACTCAGAAGTATTGCATTTATTACAAAACTATTATAAAATATAAAATCTTTGTATAATTTCAGAAGACTCACTAGTACTGCTCTGTTAAGCTGCTGTGGCATTTGGCCCTCATAAATCATCTGTGTTGTGGTAAAGAGTTGACAGTGGGTTAATTTAGAAAGTAAATGGTTAAGTTAAGGGAATGTGAACTCATGGAAAATTGTGCTTTCATCCTTTAGAAAAATCTCTCTGATAGAAAGGCTAGAGGCATTAAAATACTATATTTATTTCCTAGAGGTCTGTAACCTCTAACACCACTTATCAAATGACGGAATTACAAATGTATTGAATTGCAGTACTCTAGCAAATGTGATAGTTTTAAAGTATGGGTTTTGGCAAGTGTATCAGTGTGCTTTCTCTTTTCCCACGAAGAATGCATCTGCTTACAAATGATTCTGTTAATGTTTTAGGTTCTGAAATACATCCTGAGCAGAGAGATAAGAGATAAGCCTAACAGGAGCTTGTCAAGAAAATTCACAGACTGGGCTTATGGTCCTGTTCAGTCTTCTCTTTATGATCTGACAGATCTAGATACCACCACGGACAATTCAGTACTGGAGATTATTGTTTATAATACGAATATTGGTGTAAGTTATCTATTACTAAAATTCATATATTTTCTAGCAGTATACTCATTTCAGGTGCTTTAGCCTACTCATTTGACTGAAGAACTTGTAAAACAGTAAATAATAACTTCTGCTTCTTAGTTTTGTATTGGAAGCAAGGTTAATTTTACATCTCTGTAGATTCTCAGCTGTAAGTGAATATGGATTCAGATCCTCAAACATTGTCTAAGTATTTTGGGAGCGTTTCTTTTTCTACATTTAAAGCATTAATTTGCCTTGCATAGGAACATAAACAAGGCCCAGCTGGTCAGACCAAAACTAGTATAATTCCTCCATGGTTTGGTCACTGGCAGCTGCCTAAGAAAGCTCTTGAGAACAGGGGAAGCAAGCAGCAATGCATTCACAGGATACTCCACCTGTCCTCAGCAAATTGCGTCTCACCAGGTTTTGGAGGCAGGGGTGGTGTTTTTTGTTCTGTGCCCTGATGAAATGCTTAGCACCCATAGAAGCCTGTGGACAGGAGTTGCCTGTCTTTACTAATACCATTATTGCTGTGCTACTGTTTATTTTCATGGCATATGAAGTGTGAACAACACCCTATTTTGTCCTATTAATACAATTACTACAATTAACTTATGAATTGTACACAGTTGTTCTAAAAGAAGGTTCTATTAACAGTCATGGAAGCCATAGGGTTGTATATTTACTTAATAAAAACTTCACCTCACATACATGTATTTTAGGCATCTAGGATAGAACCTTATCACAGAATTTTAGTTTTTCAAAGCCAGAATTTGATGTTTGCTAAATTAAAAAACTGTCATAAAGCTTCTGTATGAAGCAAGTGCAGAAGTTCACACTACAGTTTTATCACAATCACAGTTTAACAAAGCATGGCAGGTTATCACAGCCTGAATTGAAGTTGGCTCATTGTATCTTGTAAATTTAGGGTCTGACAAATATATTGGAGTACAGATGTGTTTCTAGATCAGCAAGATACTGAATGAAATTTATAAAATACATACCTGAAATCATCTCAGTTTCCTTACAGGTGGAAAATTCAAATCCTAATTGTTTGTTTGTTCATTTATTTTCTACAGAATCGTCATGAAATGCTGACTTTGGAGCCTCTGAATTCACTGCTGCGAATGAAATGGAAGAAGTTTGCACGACACATGTTTTTTATGTCATGTTGTTTTTATTTCCTATACAATATAACACTGACGTTAGTTTCCTACCACAGACCTAATGAAAATGAAGTGAGTACAGTAACTTAACAAATTTTACTGCTTTAAATTGCAATAGTACTTCCTGATCTGTTTTTAAAATGTTGGTGAGTCCAAAAAAAATACCACCAAAACCAGATATCAGTTTATCTGGCTACAGTGAGAGCAGGTTCTCCCAGATCAGGTCTTTGCATCTGAAAGGAAGAGATGTAACAGAGGAAATAATTCTATTTGCGTTTTGTGAAAGTGACCTAAAAGCCACATAATACAAAGACAGGTAGTTAAGTTTCTAAAAGTGTGGGGAGGGGTTTTGCTTTTCTTTTAAGAAAGAAACCTCTGCTATTCTCTGTAAATCCACCATGAATTCAACTGTTAGAGTAATGGCAGAAATTGGGTACCCAGAGAGCTAAATACATGAGACTTCCGGTTACTTTGCCTTTTACCCTTCAGATATGGAACTCAGTCTTTCATTTTGGACATATCTTGCAGGCTCCACCTTATCCACTAGCTCTAACACGTGGTGTGGGATGGTTGCAGTTATCGGGACAGGTGATGGTTATGTTAGGAGCAATATTTTTAGCTATAAAAGAGGTAAGACTTTTAAATAACAAATACATAACAGAGTAGGTAAAGAACTTGTCTAGATTTACGAAAATGCTGATGATTTGTGTAATGTCTAAAAGTATTCAGCAGAATACGTCACTCATTCTGAATGACCCTGGATATTTATTTGAATATGCCTGTATTGCTCTGTGAAACAAATATGTGAGGGATTTTCCTTTGGAATTCTTAAGACAAAGAGATTTTATATTTATATGACAGTAATGTTGTCTAATTACTCGGGTTAAGTACAGTTTTGAATTAGAACCTATAACAGAAAAAAGCAGGGCATAATTTTTACCATATACTATAAGTAATTAAAACCAGTATCTAGTTGTTAAATTATGCCAAAGATGATAGAAATTGAGACTCTGCTGTTACAGCTCCATAAAATATTTTTAATTCTAGAAGCTATCATCTTGTCTTATCAATAGATTTTTAGAAGACCAACTTCAAATGCATGATTTTGAAAAAATGATTTTGAGCCCTGCTTTTTCTTACTACCATTTCTGTATTATATTTATCTGTTTACATAGAGTGTAGCCATCTTTCTGCTTAGGCCCTCAGACCTGCAGTCAATTCTCTCAGATGCGTGGTTCCACTTTGCATTGTAAGTCTGTCATGCATGTATTTGATGCTCTCTATATAATACTTATCTATCCTGTGGTCACAGGGAATGATTCCTGGAGCAGATGCTCAATTTTCTTTAGATTATTAGTTTTCAGAGGGATGGATGTAATCTTCCATGCAGCTTTTCTGTAGCACACACTAGTGCTTTCACTGATCAATAACAATACTGGGCGTTGATGTGTACAGGCTGTATTTTTCCCCAAAGTACAGACTGTCTTTATCTGCTCCAGATGCTGTATCTCTTCATGCTGTATATAGAGAAATGTGTTTAAGAAATCTTTTTAATAAACCAGACATAGTTTTTAACTCCTCCAGGAAGGAAAAATAGCATAAAGCTGGTTCAGCTGGTCAGCTGGTCTTGATCACAGATGGTTCCCTCTCCTTTCTAGAATAAGGTTGTGTGATCAGTAAAGAGAGGTGTCTTAACTACACTTTTCTTTCTCTTTCTACAATCATGCTAATATCAATTTTGTGCTGCCAAGAATCTGGTCTATACGCTATCAGAGTGCATCACATGTTCTCTTAGTGTCTTCCTTGCAGAGAGGTTCATAGAAATATCTTGTTAGACTAGAGCTTTAATTAAGCTGCGTCAGAGATGCTATTAAGGATTCCTAATATCTTGCCAGCAAAATCAATTGGCCAGCTATTCTGGGGAGAAGGGTTTACTTAAAGTAAGCTTTAATAAACATAACCATGATATATTAATATACTTACACTTTCTTAAGTCATCTATTTTATTGTTAAATTATATAGGTTATGTTTGTAATGGGGAATGGAATGCAATATGAAATTAGAATTCAAGCATAAGAAACAAGTCATTTCGTATTTTTCCATAATGCTGTTGGTTTTGTTCTAGTAATTTCCCTTTTACAAACATGTGTTTTTTTAACAGTTTTATACAAGCTTTGCTTGTGATCTTCTCTGTCTTTTTGTACTTGTTTTCCTACAAAGAACACCTCGTGTGTCTTGTTTTGGCAATGGCCCTAGGATGGGCTAATATGCTCTATTTCACCAGAGGTTTCCAGTCCATGGGAATATACAGTGTTATGATTCAAAAGGCAAGTATGTTTGTTTGTTTATTTATCTGCCTTGTTACAGTGATTGCTTATCTATACAATCCTAATGAAGCATGTTCAATTTGAAAATATTTTATGATTCATATTGAAATTCCTTATTTTTGTATTTTGCTGAAATAATGCATATAATCTATTTTATAACTTCAATAGCAGAGACTACCTTGAATCTTAAAAGTAAGATTTTATTTTATTAAATATGCAAGTAATTTGTGTTTGTGATTTTCAAAAAAGAGTTCTGCTATTTAATTGCATCATAGGTTTAACACCTATATTGTGCAGCTATAGTCACCATTAGAAGTACACAGCATACCAGGCTCTTACTTGCAAGATTTAAAAAAACAGACCTAACTTTTCTCTTCCCACTGAGGCTACAATCAGTTTGCTTAATGAAAACAATCTGATACTTCAGTGTTTACTGCACAGGTATGCTAGCAGAATATATAAGCATAAAACTAGTTCTCAGTTTTAATTCCTGATAAATATTTAATTTAATTTTTAGGTCATCCTGCAAGATGTGATAAAATTTTTAGTTGTCTATATCGTGTTTTTGCTGGGATTTGGCGTAGGTAAATATTACTGGAGAAAAGCACTGATGCTCTGTGTGAGTAAAAATTTTGGCATTATTATGAATAAGAACCCTATTGTCATGATGAGAGCTCATGTTGGGGTTTCTTCTGGACATTAAAAAGCCAAGTTTAGAGATTTAAAGTCTACCTAGAAACTATCTGAACAGATAAGTAATTTGGCTTTTGCTCAATTGCTTGCAATTTCATCTGCATGTGGGTACTTTCTGTTTCCTTTTGGTAATCTGTCACCTAGCTGCTGGTGCGTATGTTGCTGGGTAGCTGTAGCTCTTTATTATGCAGTGCTTTTTGAATTCTTCAGGATAAAATGTGATGTATAAATAAAGCATTATTGTAATTAAAATTTTCTCATGCTTTTTCCTCAGCTCTTGCTGCATTGATTGAAACTTGCCAAAACGGCAGTGAGTGCCATTCTAACAGCAGTCTGGGACCTGTTCTGATGGATCTTTTTAAGCTCACTCTAGGACTGGGTGATCTGGAGATCCAGCAAAATTCAAAATATCCTGTGCTATTTCTTCTGCTCCTCATAACTTATGTTGTGTTGACTTTTGTTCTTCTCTTGAACATGCTTATTGCATTAATGGGAGAAACAGTGGAAGATATTTCTAAAGAGAGTGAGCACATCTGGAAACTCCAGGTTTGTTTGTGAGTTAGCTTGTTTAATGAAGAATTGATGCATTGGCCAAAATCTTCTAAGCTGTATATGTGGTCACTTACTGTGCTCATAGTAGGGGACAGATATTGACAGTGAGAATCTCCATTTGCATATGTGTACAAAAAATGGAAATATGTACGTTTAGTATAAGAATATCCTGATAACTTCAGAATTAATAGAATTAATAGCTATCCTGAAGGTAATCTTATGGCTTGAATTTTCAATTCCATGTACTGTCACGTAGCTTTGTGACTTTCATTCCCATGGGTACGTCACCAGGAATGTTTGTTTCACTATCTGCCCAGAAATCTGTAACACAGCATACTTTGTGATTTCATCCCTTGAACTTGCACAATGCATGAGTTCACTCTGATTTTCTATTTTTTACCTAAGCGTGCTTTCTGAGTCCCAAACTGTAATCACAAATGCAGTCAGAATTAGGACTGGAGTTGCTTTCTGTGATGGGCAGCATCCCACTGAAGGAGATATAGCCCCATGGCAGAGTGTTGGTATGAAGGTATTGGGGCTAAGCCCTAACCACTGAGCCTACTTTGAGCATGCCTCCTGAGCTGGGTCTAACTAGAGGAAGTTGTGGACTGTCTAATTGCATATGCCAAATAACCAGTGTCATTCCATATTATTTACTACTGCTGATGTGTGTATCAATTATAGATGGTGGATGGAAGGGTATAACATGTTTTAATGAAAGACGGAGCTCATAAACTGCATATACAGACATTTCTGAATGTAGTTAACCATACTAATGTTACTATTTATTGTTAATAGAGAGCTAGAACCATTTTGGAATTTGAAAAATTCTTACCAAAATCTTTGAGGAAAAAATTCCAACTGGGAGAACGGTGTAAAGTGGCTGAAAATGACACGAGGGTGTGCTTAAGGTAAAGCGAAGTTAGAATATTGTGCTATTGATTATGCTCTGTATCTCTCTTCAAGGTTATTTCTCTTCAAAAGACTCTGAAATATTTTATACATCTGTACAAAACATCTTCTGCTTTTAATACATAGCTCTTTATAAGAAGAAATAGTAAATGCATTTACTGTGCTGAAACTCTGTTTGGGTTTTTTAGTTCTGATCAATTGCTTAAGAAAAGGGAAAATACGTAAGGAAAATACGTAATTTTTTATAAGAGAACTGATTTTCATCCTCAGGTATGTTTTTAATGTAGAAGTATCAGATTTGGTTGCAGGAGATATCAATTTTGTCATAATCACCTTTGAATGTTAACTTAAAAGTAATTATATTTGGAATTAATTGCTAATTTATATGATTAACATATTGAAGAAAATGTTTCTATGCTGTTTTATGAAAAAAACTCAAATATTTAATGTGAGTTTCAATACTATACTCATAGTGTGTGGAATTACAAAATAGTCTGAATATCATTCCCATCTACATACAATGTGTAACACTGCAAAAGACAGTCAGCCCTTTAGTATTAGTAAGACAGGTGTTGATGGTAAACCATGGCAATCCCAAGATGGAATGAGGAAATAAAAGGGGAAGTGCAGCTATGTAGCTAGGAGAGAATGCATGCTAATAACATAATTTATATACAATATAAACAGGATTAATGAAGTGAGATGGACCGAGTGGAAAACGCATGTTTCATTTATTAATGAAGATCCAGGGCCAACAGGTACTGCTGAATTTTACACCACAGTATTTATGAAATTTTTTTTCCTTAGAAATGCCTTGATGTAGTTTTATACCTTTAAAAATATAAACTTGCGTAACCTAGATATTCAAAAACTCTATTTACTGCAAGGGAAATACTGCAAGGGAAACTCATGGCTAGTATGGTAGGGGTGTTAAATTAGTTTAAAAAATTTGGAGAGAGGTTTGGTTACAACTTTCATTATTTATGCCTTGGTATTGAAACATGGTAATGTTACCATATTTATTTTTCTCTAAGCAGTTACACTTGATCTAAGTTTTACATTTTCTTCAGGCATTTGAATGGTATAAGAGTGAACAACTTGTAAACAGACAAAATATTTTTGTTCTGAAACAGCTGTCACAAACTACATTAATTTCCTCCTTGAATAGTTACATACAGCATTGCAAAATTTGGCAAGAAATCAGACTGATTCTACCTAACAATACAGTAGTTTGCTATGTTTTAGTCCTCAAACATTCATGTTTGTTTTGCAATATACATTGGATGACAAATGGCTCCTTGTAAATGTTAACCAGGAAATTCAAGATACCCATCTGCTGACAGTGTTGGAAGTGTAATAGAGAAATGACCTAACTTTGAGGTGTCAGATGTCCTTCTGGGAACAAACATCGGAGTGTATGATAAGGGCATGTGAGGATCTGAGAGATTTGTTTTGCAGTTAGTTCTTTAGTCAATTAACATTTACACTGCTTAGTAGAATGATCCCAGCAACAATGAAAAGGGGCAGACGGAAAACTTTGTATAAGATATGGTAGCAAACTGACAGCTTACTATTTAATTAAATGCATGTTTAAAAAAAAAATTAGTTGTGCAAAAATTTGGTCTTGCATATACAGTTTCTACCATATCCTGTTTTGTTTATAATGCACTTTTTTGCAGATCCAAGCAAAGTTCAAGATAATTCAAGAACTAATAGCAAAACAACCCTGAATACGTTTGAAGAAATGGATGATTTGCCTGAAACTTCTGTTTAGTTCTTCTGTATTTCATATGTGGATGCTTTGGAGGCTAAAAGCATCAGAAGCTGATGTTGAAAGCTTTTTTAGTATTTTGGACAGCTGTAACCAGCTGGAACACAAACTTACAGTGACATGGTCTGATGACTTTAACCCATTTAATCAGTGCAGCTATGCTAAAAATAAAATGGACTATTTCACTGGTTCAATTTTGAGCCTCTTAAAAACCATTGCTGTCCAAGTATGTATGATTATTCAAACTTGGATCTAGACTATGTACTGGTTAAAAAAAGGTCTAATGTGAGATATTTCTTCCTTTTGTGGAAAACTGAGATCTTTGTGATCCCAGTCTGATGTCTTTTGTTTTCAAATCTTTAGCACATTGTATTCTGAAAAAACTTAAGTTTTTGTCATGGTGAAAAGAAAGGCATTTCAATTTTGAAGACTACTAAATGAAGAATTTTACTTTGAAATAACAATGTTCTGGAAACATTTGAAACTTTTGTATTGATGGTCAGTGTTACTGGAATCTTTATCCCACAATTTGGAGAAAGCTTCAAGTAGAAAAATAGCCCCTTTGGGTCTCATTAGCTTTGTGATTTATTTTCCTGTGTATACTACCTAGGGTACAAATGTGGTCTTTATTCATGTGGATCATATGTGGATTTTTATTCATTATTTATATATGTGCCTTCCCATAAAATAATAGGGCAGAAACACAATTCACAATGGAGAATTTCTGAGTTTGTTCAAGTCACAATGTCTTTATTTTTCCTGTTTCTACTTGGCTTTTCCATACTGGTGAATCTTGCTATCACACTGGAAGTTTTCAGGTTTAATTAAATCAATTTCTACATTCAACCACTTCAGAAAGATGAAAGTCAATTTCTTCCCAAAGGAACAGAATAAGTTAAATGCAATATAATTGCAGACTTTATTTTATTTTTATTTTTATTTTTTTTAATTCAGAGGACTGTGTAATGCATTTCTGTAGCACTTTTTATTTCATTACTTGTGATGACCTAGTACTATAAATTATATTTTTTACTTTTCTATTTGTGTATGTATAAAAAGAAATAGTTGTCCTGTGTACCTGTAGATTTCAATTATTACAATATGTATCTTCATTGTCATGGATTTTTGTCGTATATACATTTGGTGCCTGTTTTAAAGGTACTATTTAGGAAACACTCAGGTAAATTCTGTTTTGTGTTTGAATGATAATATGAATTGCATTGGATTCTTACAGCTAAGCCTGAAGTGCGCAAAATGGTCCAAAAAACTTTCTTAACACAGAAGAGAACGTGAGGGAACTCTCCATCGGAAAGGATAGTGCAAAGCTATTTGCAGTGATGGTGAACATATTTTTTGCTACCAAACTGGTCTTCTACAGATGTCCTATGAGGCGTTTGCTACCGTGTATGGCTCGGATGGATGGGATCAAGTTGAAATCTTCAGTTACTTTTTCACAGTGCATAGGAATTCTAGGGGAAGGACATTCATGCATATCAATATACTGATGTAGTATCTGAGCATTGTTTGACCTTCTTAGTAGGATATGTGAGTATGAGAAGAAAAAATCCTATCTTCCAGAATCTTTCATCTGTGCTGGTTGATTTTGCATTGAAACTGACAACAAAGAATATTGTCTTAGGACTATGCAGTTCCATTTGGATTCTTTTGAGTGCCAGTTTTTGTACCAAAAAAATACCTCGTCACATATACTCAGGAACCGGAATAAATGAGTCTGCACTGTATTCCATATTGTTATGGATAGACTTGTCACTAAAAACAAGTTCAGATGTCTCTGCACTGTACTGAGGTCAGACTGTAGGCACAGCCATAAAACAGGGAAGACACAAGAAACGTAAGGAACGTGCTGTAGCCATGTCCATGTTCAAAGCTATGTGATACAAATGAGGAAGGGGGTGGGTGGGTGGGATTGTTTCTAAAAGTTCTTCACTGAGAAAATACCTTGTGTTTGTGGCCATAGAGTCCTGCTACATACCAGTTGTCTCCTATCTCAAGGCTCTTACCGAGAAAAATGACTACAGCAGATCATTCTGTACTTTTTATACAATATTTATTTCAATATAAAGAAATAAAATGTACTTCAATAAACATCTCATTCTGTCCTGTATTTTTATTTTATTTCTGTAAAGTTACACAAAGGTAGCTAAAAAGGTTTTTGGCTTAGTAGCAAATAAGGAGGACATCACTTTTTGAAGTATATACTTTAGGGGTTATGTTGGTAACAAATCAGTTAGTAAACAGCTAATTATTGTGTGCTTTCAGAATTTATGCAAAGTTCTTAAAGTTTTTTCTGTCTCTGATTATTGTCAAATACATTTAAAACATCTGTAAAAAGTTAATTAAATCCTCATCTTCTTCTCTTTTTCAGCTAGTATGACAGGCTTTCTTTCTACAAATACAGAATAAGTCAGTCTTGAAATTCCGATGTCTCCCCATACAGATTTCTTCTTAATTTCCATTCTCATATAGTCAGGTATGATTAGTGCATTGTTCTTCAACACAGCCTGCATAATTACCTAAATCCTGCCTTGTTTTTTGAAACTTTTCAGGGCACAACAGTTGATGCAAACTTTATTTGGAAATGTTACAAGCAGGAGGTGGAGACAGTAAGTTAAAAAAAAAAAAGTTAAAAAAAATAATTGCTGTATTTTCTTCTTTATCATGTAGTTTGGGGGGCTTAACTTTTACTTTCTATGTAATTCTGGATAGATTCTTTATAGCTACTCATCAATATATCTTGTATATTGTAATATATAACATATAATTATTTTATATAGAATAAACTATCAAACTTCATAAAAATATTATTTGTATCTATAGTAATCTATTAGAACAAGTAAAAAGTAGTCATAATTAGCATTATGACATTATCTTTCATCTTAAAAGTTCTCAACAATGTTAATTAAATTACAATTTAAAATTAGATTCTGTATATATTTAGTCTGTGAATAACTACTGAATGGCACTGAATTTCACAGAGAAGAAATCCACTATTTGTAAGGATAACTTGTAAAAAGTTTTCAAGAAGTACTCTGGTCTAAAACTGAGGATCTGATATGTTTTGCAGTGAGTTCCATTTTGATTGTTTTTACAAAAGCTTGTTTCTTTTCATAATACGCAGCTTCGTTAATAAATGTTGGATAGACTGTACAGTCCCCTTTATATGCAATTACTTCTCCATCAAGTGTTAAAAATAGAGGATCACCATTGTTCAGTGGCTGCCAATCTTGATCCTTAGAGAAAGAAAATAAATAGAATATATTTACATGAACATTTAAAAAGAAAATTAAAGTGAATTCTAAATTTATGCTCAATAATTATATTCCCTACAGTTGATGGCAAAAGCTTCTAAAAGAATTCCTTTTAAGTACATAATATTGGGTTTCTGGCCTTCATTTTCAGGTTTGTGTTGAAATAACTTACTGGTAAAGGTGAACTAAAAGGAAACCATGTATGCTCACAATTGATTGAAAAAGACCCTCACTTTAGAATTAAAAATTAAGATTCACATTTTAAAATATAAGCTATCCTATTGTCATGTTCTTTTCAGTTTTAGGTTCAAAAATGATTTTAGATTCACTTATCTACAAATCAGTTACTGAAATATTGTATGACCTTAGTGGTAGAACTTACTATAGGGAAGATCTAAAGTATTCAGTAAACCCAGTGGCAATATTCTCATTTTAAATATTTTATTTACTATTAAAAATATACTATAATGTAGCAGGAGCTACACAAGAATACTTATGAAATGTTGTAAATGAACACTGCTATAAAATTTACCTGCAGTTTAGGGTGAATAATAGCAATAACTTCACCATTTTTATTCCTGGGATAATCTACTTTCTCCATTATTTTATAAACCTCAATTGTACATGGTGGAAATTCTTTTCCTAGAAAGAATAAATGTGGTTTAATGTCAAAATGAACAACGGACTGTTAAAAAGAACAATGCATTACTTATTCTCTGTAGAATGGCTTAAATTATTAGCTTGTACATTGTTAAGGTTTGCACACTAGTGATTAGCTCATACATCAAAAGCATGTCTAGTTCCAGGTCTTTCTTCCCCTAGAATCCAAGCTACAGAAAGATAATTCTGTTGTGTATTGTTGCATACATAGCCCTGAATTTGATCAGTGGTGCTGAAACGTGGCATTTCACTATATACTTAAAAATACTTATTTTGTAGATGAAGAAATTGCTGAAAGGCCTATGCTTGATATTGTTGCATAACACAGAATGATGTCAGTGCTGTTTCATCTTTACAATTCCAGCACAATAATGTAGATTCTGACATACACAACTAAATTATTTTCCTTCTACTTCCAAATATAGCCTACTGACAAATGTACTCCAAAAGAATTTTCAACACCTATTTTTGCCAGTATGTTTTACATAGTGTACACAAGTGTACACAGGTAATAACAAGAATCTTACAGGATTTCTTGACTGTAATTTGAGATAATGCACAGAAAATGTGTAAATTAAACACCTCCTTAATTTATGTACAGTGTTCTCAATGAACGTACTGCTACACAAATACTTAGCTACTATTTCAGATTCTTAAAGCAACTTTAAGATCAAGTATACATATTGAATCTTTTCTAAGGGGAAATATCCTCAAAGCTACCCAAAGGTGCTATAGAGAATACTTTGGACCTTCTCCTGCAGTTAGGTCATCTAGACAACACCTGCTCTGTATCCCCTTCAATTTTACTTGTTTAAATGTAAAGTGTTGTAGCTCAACCTATTTTATTTTTTGAAAAGCTACTCTTGAAATAGTCCACTGGCATGACACAGGGGGGTTTATTCTTTCATTACTTACTCTACCTTCATTAAAAAGTTGAACAAAATCAAGGCCATGTTTGACAATCTTCCTCATTTTGTCCAAAGTATCGGCTCTAACAACACCTTGTGGCTGAGGACCCACCTCCACACCTGTTTACAGATCAGGGAGATTATTAATATAGCCATAATATATCACAGACTACAAAGGAAAAATACATGTCTGATTGGGTCTGTGTTTTATGTTTAAGACAAACTTTAAACTATACAGTTACGTGATTTTGGATGGCAAGCAGGAAATTTAGCTCATGAGTAAGGATCAGTTCAAAGAACCATATGTACATTTTTGAGTGTGCTCCTCGGGTAAGGGAAATGGTCACTACATATGTTCATTTCTCTTACTCTTTTTTAAAATTATCTTTCCATGATGCATTTTGGAGAACTCAGTGTTTAGTATGACAGGCAAAATAACATTTTTGTTTGTTTGTTTGTTTTTTCCCCTTTTGTTACAATTTTGATTCCATAAATGAAAAAGTTAACAACTTCCATGCAGAAAATAATTTTCACCTTCCTTTATTACATTATCTTTTTTTTCCCTTCTTGGCTTGGGTCCAATGTTTCGGGCAAGGCTTATTTAGAGGAATTAAATATTTCTCTTCTGAAGCTGTTACTTCTTTCTTATCCTCATATATTATAAATATTTTCTGAAAACAGTGGGTTAACTAAGTATATAAATTTCCATCTGGTTTCTGTATTTTGTAAGCCAAGTAAAAATCAGTGTACTTCAGAAGAGAAAATCATAAACATTTGATTTGGTAAAATACATTGTCAAACAAATAGCTACTGGTGATCAGAGCATGCTGTATAATGTAACAAAATGAACTGATCAGGAAACAGACATTTTTATATAATTTCTGGTAGGATAAAATTGGTCTTTATTTTTCATATTTACCAACAGGATGTTTTGCTACAGATCGGGTTGTTGCATATTTCAAGTTAGGATGTTCAATCAGCAAAACGGGACAGCATTCTGGAGCCAAAGCATTCTGTGGAGATTGTTTAAAAATGTCTTTGTTATGCAAATATTTTAAAATGTTGTGCCACAAAAGACTACTGATGCAGAAGTGATTTACACAATGTGTTCAATATGTTGCCTTTATTTCACAGTGCTCAAAGAAGTAGGACATCTTTAGAAAACATACAAAGCTGTATTTGTTGGTCTTCTTTCCATTAACTCATGCTAGGCATGGTCCACTGAACTTTGCTGTCTCCTAATATAACTGAACACAGTGCTGGCCTTAAATTGCTAACAGGAAGAAAAATCTACGCATCAGTGTTGCAGAATTTATAAGCAAAATACTTTAAAGCAGATTTCTAAGCAAATCTTGTAGATTTAAATTAGATCAAATCAAATGTTAAAATATGCCTTACTTCTAAGGTAAATAATAATAATAATAATCTAAGTGCACATCATTGGCCTAACCTTTATTTCTTCACTCATTTTCTAGGTCCCCAATAGCATCAACCAGATTACTTAAACCAGCACTTCTGCAAACCTCACTTCACTGATATTTTTCAGCCCCAGAAATAGCAGAATCAAATAGGTTTCAAAAGCATATTAATATTCCTGTAAGTAGCGACAAGGGGAACATTACTTGTTACCTGGTTCCATTAGTTTTTCCATGTCTTTATTTCATAAAATTAATGTTTAACTATTCAGTATGTGTGACCCAAATTTATTTAAATTGCTGAGAGATCAGTGTGGCATCAGATTAAATTACATTTATTTTCACAGATTTTATTCTAAGCATTACTCTCTGTGCATCAGTCTTACTAGAACTCATTTTAATACATGAAGATTATGAATGAGGTCAAATCTGAATTACCTGATATTATAATAAAATTATTAATTATCTCTGATTTTAAAAATCCTGAATGATTAAATATTTTAAACAGTTTTACAAAATAAAAAAATAGAATATTTAAAGAAACTAAGAAATAGTATATAGTAATACATTACAAACAATAATCTATTTTAATAGTTCATTTAAATTAGTTTTACCTTGATATAATGAAACATTTGAATTGTAAAGTCATCCCTGGAGTTTTCAAGAATAAGGGTACCACCCATGTTAGAAGTGGTGTTGTGAAGGTCAAAAATAAGGTCATAGGCATCATCACTACCTTTTGGACCAAATATATGATTGATTTCCTGAGCCCTTCTCACTTCATATGGAATATCTTCCACCACTGTCCTGCTGTTAATATTAGTACAAAAATATTAGTAAACTCATTCCATGGCTTTACAGTCAACAAAATATGTATATCCTTTGCTTTTCACTTTAATTCCATAATTGACTGGAGTTTAAATCACCTATTTAAGTGCCTTACATAAAATACGGTGTTTGTGCTTGAAGCGAATATGATTGTTAATGAAAAACAGATCTTACTATTACTATCTCATGCAGATTTTTTAAATCTGATTTTAGCTATGGACTACTTACTTCTCTCTTATTTCTTTACATTGACGTCTAGTCCATACCTCCATTTACCTCCATGCAGAAAACTAACCTCAAATTTATCAAAAACTTAGGCCACTTCCAAGACTGAATCCAGCTTCTACTGAAGATGGTATTTGGACATTGCTTCATGCCCTTTTGTCATGGACCTCAGTTACAAAGTCTTTCATAACCTGATTTCATGTATTCTTGTGTTCTGATCAGATTTTGTTACAGCCTGTTGTTTTGAGTACTCCTGGCCTTCAAAGCTCATAGAAGATTTTGCTACCTCAAACCCGTTCTTCCAAAGTTTTAATACCTTCAGTTTCAGGTGGCTGTATCAGTAGTAGACTTAAAAAATGGTCTTAGCCTAAGGAATGGTCTGAGATATTTGCTTCCTGCCTTTATAGGGGAAGTATAGGAAACTGATATATGATGCCAAGATACCTTCCTTACTTAAACAGTGTAAAAAGCTGCTGCAGTTCAGACTTGTTCTGCATATACAGCAGATTTGGTATTCTTGACAGGCTTGGGATGCTACCCAAGTACCATACAGAAACACCTAATATCTTTTGTGCTAAATTCAGGTTTTTTTCCTCAGTACAGCTCAAGCTTTGTAAGGTTTTGATTTTGTAAGAAATACTGGTATTAAGTTGCATAAAGAAAGGTTTGTTAAAAACTGGCAAAACACCTTGCTAACTGCACAGATATTTAAACATCAGAAGAGGTTGCTAAGGAAAATTATGGGATCAGCTCTGCTGAAGTAAAAGAAATGGCAAGGTAATCTATTACGAATGGTGATGTGAACTTGATCTACTGGTGGGATGTGATGTGGGTAAGAATTCTTACTTGAGCCTCTCAAACTCCTTATTTTAACAGTTCCGTATATCACAGAATCTATCATTGTATTCTCTAGTTCTGTCTTTGAAATTTGGGGTTCCTTCACATAAAACTGTTAAATACTTCTTGTCAAAGCCAATAGGACTCCCACCGTTCCTTTCAGTAGTATCAGGATTTTCCCTCTCCTGATTTTGTAAAATCATTTGCAGTCTTGAAGGGTCTGCACTTAAAGTGATTAGGTAAAAATCATTCAAATATATTCACTACTATTGTAAAAGGACTGAGTAATAGGATATACAAAGGAATATTATTTTTAAAAATGATGACAACCTGGAGGTGTTTTAATCTTTTTTTTTTCAACTGTCCTATGTTCAAAACAACCTTTTTTTTTTTTTCCCTCATGTTTGTCCTAAGTAAGCAGTTAAAAGAATGGCCTTAACATTTCTGTGTAATTTTTTAAAATCTAATTTAATAACTAGCGATAAAATTGTTAAATGACAACCAGATGAAAAAGCATGCAGACTAAGAATAACCTTGATTACAAAATAAACATGATACATTTTTCTTTCAGTGATACTCATTTTCACCACTAAGACCTTTCTGATACATAATTACCTGTTCAGCATGCAACTATACCAAACATTAAAAGTGTTTGGTTCATACCACAACATACACCTCTGGAATAGATGTCTTGAAAGCAGAGAAACATAAAATCCCATTAAAAATGTGAAATCAATTACTACTTTACAGTAATTATAGATTGTACTTCTCCAATATAAAGAGACAGTTAAATTATTGAATTTTTGTTGATCTTTTTGCCATTAATTTCTTTATTTCTTACACCTTATTTCAAGTTTTAATTTTTTATTATATGTAACTGAAATTAAATTGTATCCCAATTTATATGCCATTTTTTCAGATACGGGGGTCTCCATTTAGATTGTTTCATGTTTTCACATATCCTATATTACTACAAGTATAATTGTACTCAGAAGAGCTCCAGAGCTTCATTGCACTAGAAGACATGAGAAATAATGACTTCACAACTCAGAACAGCAATACTTAAGTTTACACAAACACAGCTAATCTCATACTAATTTAAAATGCTATGTTTAAGACTATGTGTTGGTTTGAGACTCATTTTATTAGCGACAAATCTAAAATGAAACTGCTAACACACAATTTGTTCTTTTTGGGTTAAAGGTCAATAATTTAATTTATGTGACTGCACAGTTAAAATAGTAGTGGAACTTGTGTTTACAGTTTAATCTGGAAAAGAAGCACCTTACAATTTTTTTAAAAAAGAGAAAATTAAAACAACAGAAAGCATGACTATTCTTACCCAAGATTATCAGGGTCAAAAACACGGTTCAGGTCACAGTCAATGTACCTAGTACACTTCTTCACAGCTCTTGGGTTCGTAAGAAATGGTTTCACTTCCATTCCTGTTCTTTGAATTTCAGCTCCATTCTCTTGCCAGTGCTTGACCAAAAATACCCCTGATAATTCATTACCATGAGTTCCTCCAAAGATAGCAACCCTTCTGACTGGAGGTTTATGAACAACAGAACAGGAAGTCATGCTTTTCAGCAGCTATAAGAATTGCTGAAAGCAAAACAGAAAATAAGGGTAAAGTAAAGCTTGTGTCACCAAGAAAAAAAAAATATATATATATATATATTTTTAATAGGAAATTATTTACGCCTGTTTAGGTCAGACGTGAACGAAGAGAATTAACATTTCTCTACCAGTTTCAGATTCCTGTTGTGAGGCGGGGAGTTGCTCATCGGACTCTCCTCCCTCTCAAGGATCCCTCCCCTTCATTTACCATATTTAGTAATACCTCCAAGGCTGGTAATGGTACAGTTAGACAGTTCAAAAGTTAACTTTTTCCCGTCTAGCTCTATTAATATGTGATATATAGGTAAATAATGTGCTATGAAAGTATGAAGAAACTTTTTTAATGCATGCTTTGAGAATGTACTTAAACATCTAATATTTTTGCATTGCAAGCAAAACAAGTAACAAGTATATTCATGTGTGTTTTACATTACATAAACATTACAGTATACAGAGCAGAATGATTTAAAAGGAGAAAAAAATAGTAAAATATGAATCATATCTTGGCTCTAGATCAACACATAATGCTGAAACATCAAGTACTTTCATCTAAAAAAACAAGAACAGCTGAGTTCCTCAAAGCATGTTGTTGCTTGTATGACCTTTTTTGTTTTATAATATCTGAAGAACAATGATCAGAATGAGCACTATCTGAAATTAAAGTGCAATATACCCATAAGTCACCTAGTATTCCCGGCTCTAGTTGTGTCTTGGGATCTGCTAACACAGACCTCTATGACATTGAAACAACTTGGTGAAGACCCCTTCTAACATCTGCAACCTCTTATTAAAAAAGGAAATTGATACAGACCACAGAGGGACAATAGTTTTCTCCCCCCAAAAAAACTTAGTCAACAACTTCTTCCACTTCCAAAAGCATTCAGGTAGGATTTCTGAAAGGAAACTTCAGCTAAACGTTTAGAGAACGGATCTTGATAACAATAAACAAGGTCTCACTGCTGTAAATGACAATTATTCACAACTAGTGTCCAGCACACAATATAGATATAAAAATGTTAAACTGTAAGGGAATAGAAAATATTTATCAAACTATTCTATTTTATTAAGAATATACTCCAGTAACTGACAGAGTATTTGACTAGTATCTGTGAGAGGTTTTATAACCCAGGTTGATAAATTATATGTCTATGAAAATAAAGCTAAACATAGGACTTACCTAGACAAGTTCTGTCAGTCATATACTTCCTAAGAATGTTATTCTCTACATTGCAGCTTATGTCTACAGATTTGCTGAACCTTATAGCAAGTTAGTATAGATAGACTGCTTACTTTGTCGCTGTATGACTGTTGTAAGCTGTCAGCTATTTAATCACAGTAAGTAATTTATTAAGCAAAGCAGTAAAGCTCTATTTTACAGCACTGGACAGTCTGTACTGTCCTTTGACCTTGGTCTCTTTAGCGAAGGTGCCAAAATGGCTATTTACATGCTGCTTGAAAAAAAACGACTTGTGCTCTGAATCTTGGTTTGTTGAATTTAAACACCACAGCAGTTTGAAGAGTAAAGAGCAAAATTCAGATATGCAGTGCTAGTACACATATTTTATCTCTCATTGCTGATGGTGCTGAAATGGTTATAATTCCTTGCAAAATGTTGAATGAAATACAGAGATCGTTTGTGCACTTACCTCACTTAACATGCAAGAAGTTTGTTTCCTAAGAGCTCTTTTAGGACAGATACAGTGCATTTCCAAATGAGGTTAGGAACTAAAGCCATGGAAGCTTCTTTTATACCCTTAGAGCAAGTTAACTTCCAAAGAGTTTTTAACTCCTGGTCTCCCGGGACATTACAAACACCCATGAATATGTGGCATAAATGTAGACAATTGAAATGTTTTCAATTTTCTTATTTCCTTTTTTCCTATGCTTTGCCAATACTTGCATGTTGACAATTATGTAGGAACATACTTGGTTTATTAAAAATTCAATATTGTTTTTATGTACTGCTTTTTTTCAACAAGAGTTTTGACTTATTTTCTCCACTCCTTAGTCATATACTAAGTTATTAATGACAGCACTACATTCGCTAGTAATCCCTCCTTTTCCACTGATGTGACCTGATCTAAAACTCAAGAGTACTCTGAAGCTAGCAATTTGAGACAGAATCCGCTTTGATCTGAAAGCTAAGATTTAACACAGGAGCCTGACAGAAATTACATGGTTGCAAACAGCTGTGTTAAAAACCCAGCATGAAGAATGGAGATAGCTTTATTTGCAGCCGTGCTTGTGTTCACCATTTGTGGATATTCAGCTTGTGCCCAGGGTTCTGCGAGCCCCAAACACGTGGGTTGGTACCCGAGGGCAAAGATACCTAATTAAATCCTGGAAACACCGATTTATTGTTCCTATATTGGTATTGAACGGGGATGAGACCCCAGCCCCGCCGGTGCCCCAGGGCGCTCAGTAGCGGCCTCTCATGACCACTGGCGTAAGGAATCGGCTCCTTCCCGCCCTTTTGCCACCTCGCGCCTCACGAGGGCGTGACGGTTTGGTCCGTTACTTTTGGCGGGCTTCACCTCAGCCCCAGCCCTCAGCCGCTGGCCGGTCGTTTCTGTTGGTCTGTGAGGGGTGCTGCTCTTGTGTGAAGTTCTGAGGCGGCTTATCTCGGTATCTCCCCTTATCTATCTTTAGTTTTACTTTTTTTTTCTTTAACTCGGGGCCTTGGCTTGCTCATCTTCAGGAGAAGACAAAAAGCAAAGCAAGATAATCTAAGATCTTGCACAACACAAAAACTGTCTTCAAAAGCTGAAATTCCAGGTTTATGGGATTTTATTTGACAAGTGTATTATTTACTGATTGTCATTAAGCTTTACAGAGCTACCAATGCATTTTAAATATAAATTAGGTAACAGCAATAAAGTGGAAGCTGCTGTGATGTCATGTGTAGTTAGTCTGTATTACAGAATTAAAGAGTAAATTGATTCAGCTGTGGTAGATACTTGGGCTTAATTCTTATCAAGGTATGTAACAGCTGCATACAGTTAACTGCCAAAACAACAAAATAAATATAAAGGCAATGGTTTATGTTATTTATGCATAAGTATGTGGTATTATTCATATGCCACTAAAAGTGATACAAATCAGTAGCTAACTGAGAGAATAGCAACAAATGATACACAACAGTCTTTGTAGTATCCTCAATGCATGCTATAATTTATGGATATTTCCTATAAAAGTACTTTAATCAGCAAGCAAATATAGTAAACTAAATATTTAATTTAAAAATAAAATAAAAATATATAAATATATATATATAAATATATATATATATATATATAAATATTAAAAATATTTAATATGCTAATTTAATATGCTAATTTATATCTTTTGGTCATAATCTTTTAAAGAATCTTTGATAGTAATGGTTTTTGATGTGTGGAATATTTTCTCTGAGGAATTTGGGGAAAGACTTTAAATCTGTACAATACAGTACAGAAAAGCTTATTTTTTTAAAGCATGACAAAAACCTACATAGTCTCTCACATGTAGTTAAATCATGAGGTGTCTTTTTTCAAAGCAGTATACCTTGTCTTCATGTTTTGCAAACAATGCTTAAGTATTTATTTTTATTAGTATTGTATCTACCTGAATTAAAAAATGTTCTTTATTTTTGAATGTATTTTTACTTTTAAAATCAAAAGTGAATTCAGTATTTTTTATGGCATGCAAGTAACAGAGAATATAATTTTTTGTGCAAGAATGTAATAATTTGGGTCATTAATCTGCAAAGACCAATTGCATGCTATTTTTGTACCTGTGAATCTTCTAAATCTGGTTCAAATTCTCACACAATATAGACTTCTCTAAAGTAATGTGTATAACAGAGTTATACCAAGAATTAAAATGAACTGCTACAAAGTAACGTAAAATTTGAACATGTTTACAATATGAATTAGTTTACTTTTTCCATTTACCTTTCATACAGCAAATTTGAAGTAATCAATACAGTGTTGCCTATTAAAATACGGTACAAAAATGAAAAGGAGTTTATCTGACACTTCAACTCGCACCACAGCAGGTACTATTCATTCTTTTGTGCTTTACAGTTTATGTATTTTTATGCTTATATCCTAGAACACCGTTTCCTGAGTAGACTTGTTTGAATTTCTATGTTATTACAGCACAGTGCAAAATTTTGGAGTAATGGGATTAGTCACGAAGTGAAATGTATAACTCACAGACTGATTTGCAGAATTGAGTTCTAGAGATACAAATTCTGTGAAGCAACGTCTTGTCTATGTTATGTGTTTATGAAGTATAATTCCTATGGATGATGTAAAATAAAAGAATATACAGATAATTACTATTTACATAATTTAAGTATGGATTGTGTATCCTTTTGCTGTTGGTATAATGTTATTATGTGAATTTTAATTTTAGGTTGTCTGCCTGTACCACTGTTCAATCAGAAAAAAAGAAATAGACAGCCCCTCACTTCAAATCCACTTAAAAATGAGACAGGTACCAGTTCTGTAACTTGTATTTATGACTTATCTCCTACATCATTGTAAATAAGATACGTATAATTTTAACGGCTCTAAATCCAATTAAATGTTAACTTTGTTATTATTATTATTAAACTAGATATTGTATTTATAAAGATCTATATGCATCCTTTATATTTATTTCTGAAAAGTTCATTATGTAAAAAATGTCCTCCAGGAAGTTCCTTTCTCCTCTGTACAATTGAGCTTTCTTACTTTGTGCCTAGAGGGAGGTCAACTCTTTGTGTGTTAGAGAATGAAGTAGCACTGGCATTTAAATAGAGTCTCTTGAAACTCTGACCTTTTGTTTTCAGTTTATTTCAATCAAAATTCAAGCCTTGTGTTACAAGAAGAAACATAAGATGTCTTTCTTGTAACTGAGAACTTTTTTTCAAATTGTCCTTAGAAAGGACTATGCAGAATTCAATCTGTTATTATTTTCATTATGCTTTACTTGAAATAAAAATCTCTGTGCTTATAAGAAATGTCTAATGTTTATAAGTTAAGCATTATCTAGAAAAGCAACTTGTCAGAAATTGCCTTATAATTATAGATATCAAAGGATCACACCGCACCCCCCTTTTTTTTTCCTCCTGAGCAAGACTATGTGTGGAAAGTAAAGCAGATAAAGAGTAGGAGGCCTAAGCAGACATTTAGATCTTTTCAGTTTGTACATATATTCAATCCTTTGTCTTTTGATAATTAGGCTGGGGAACTGCGAACCCAGAAGGAGCTGAACTACAGAAAGCAGTGAACGATGGGTATGTAAAACTAGATTATTTGTTATTTACTGATTTTATTTGTGTACTATCTATTAGTTTCACAACCTATGAGCCATGTGCGTGTCTTAAAATAAATCTGCTACTCTGTTACTGATATTTTAACTTATCTTTTAAAGCCGAGGAGAACATGAGATGACTTTTTCCCTTATGAAACCACCAAATGCATCAAATTCTAATTTAGCAAATGCTGGCAAAAACTTGAATGCCTACAGGTTAGTTAAGTCTTTAATTTTTACTACGATTATCCAAAATAATTTTTATTCTGGTGTGATACACCTTGCATTATTCCATATTCTAATAGCACTTAGAGCGACCCTTTTAATTCTAAGGTCATCACCATAGGCCTAAACAATTACATTCTGCTTATGAGCCAAAAACAACTGAAATGGAGTATCTTTCCAGTGCACCTAATGAGGCCTAATATATAGCCTTTTTATTTTTTTATCATAATGGTTTCACATTGACAAAGTACTCAAGTATGTATCTAAATCTCTGGGTTTAATTGGGTTTCACACGAATAATTGTATGAGGAAAGGGGATCAACTTAGCACCAGGAGAGAACTTCAGAAGGAGAATTCTAGGAATCATTTATCAAGAGACTATCGATAGTTTCTATCAGTGTACATTAAGGCAATTATATATAGAAACATTCAATCAGAACTTATGAGTTATGAGACTTATGGAAAATTGTAAATCTTAGGTCAGGAAAGATCCCTCTGTAGGACAATTTATTTCCCAGCTTGGGACTGCAATTTTTCAGTCATATTAAATTCGTATTTCAGTCACATTGAATTCAGTGGGATTTAAGCAAGTATGTAATCACTATTCTGTATATGGATAAATTTAAATGTATGTTCAAATATTTATTGAGTCTAAATATTTAACAGATTTTAAACTGAAACAATACACAGATTGCTTTTATAAACCGTAATTACGAATCTGAGTATTCAGAATAGATATTCTGATACTAAATTGTGTCTTATGTTATGCTTCAGGGCAGAAGAGAAGACTCCCAGTACTAAAGTTTGGAACAGAAATGAGTATACTCCTCTAAGTAACAGGACAGATTTAATATCTGATAGTGGAATTATTCGAAAGTTTGAGAACCCTTCAAATACTTTGAAAACTGTTCAGCAGCAAAAAAAAAAAGATAATTGTAATTCACCTCAGCATATCAAAACAAGAGCAACTAACCAAACATATGCACGTACAGGACAATGGCCAGTGAAAGCTAACACTGTACCAAGAAGTCTGCAGGATCATGGTCTGGCATATAAATTTAACTGCAACAGTCAGCAAAGTAACATGAATGAAAAACAATTTGATTGTGTTCCAGAAGACAAAATTCAGGTAAATTTCTGGAGAGAGTTAACAGAAAGAAACAATGAAGAAAACTGTAAAGAAAAAGAAAGTTGAGGAAAGATGAAGCTTTCATCAGTCCTAGCAGCCTTAATAAACCCTTAAGTTTCTAAAAATTTGAAACCGAGATTTTAATATTGTAATAGCCTTCAGTCCTCAGCATGATCATACAGATTGGAAGGGGTTATTTGTATAGTCTGAACAAATACTGTAATGTAAGCATTGGATATATAACAATATTACATAAACATCTATCTGCCTTTTAAATTCTGTAAGTGTGTATCTAACTTGAGTTTTCTTCTTCCTCTGAAAGGAAGTTTCATCATCTGAAATAAAACCTAAAGAAAAAAGGAATTCTTTGCGAATCATATCTGCAGTCATTGAAAGTATGAAGCACTGGAGTCAATATGCTTACAAAACTGCACTATTATTTGAAGTTTTAGGTAGGTGTTATAGGTTGTGCTACAACCAATAATAATGATAGGACAACAGCCAAGAGAAACTGTGTTATTAACTGTTAAGGAACAATAGCTGAAATAATTAAAAATGCAAAATACTAGCGCTATTTAATTTTCCTGCTGGGAGATCTACTCAGCTATCAAAGGTGATTGAAATAGGAGCAAAAATATTAAAATAGTCACCCATCAACATTTAAGCTCTTTCTACCCTGTTCGTTTACTTTCCTTGTTACGATACATTCTATAAATTTTCTTATTTAAAAAGAACCTTCTGTAGAGGGGTACAGATTTACAATAATCTTTAATTAGGGAATAAATTCAAGCCTGGAGTGCTTCTAAATGAAGATGACTTTTAGTGTGTTTCACTTTGCGTTTTAAGTGACGTTATCTGAGAAATGAACATGACAAAAGATGAAAACTGGCTAAACTGTTTAAATCAAGATGAATAAAAATACACAATGTAATGGCATCTCAGAAACTATAATTTTGACAAGGCTACAAATATATGTAATGCTTAAAGTTGATTTGTAAATGAGGATCAATAAAACAGAGAATTTAGTTTTGCTATGATTAACAGGAGAATAACCCATTTACTTTGACAGTTGTGAAAATGGCATTTTATCACTCAGTTTAGACAGACTTCATACACAATTTTACTGTAAAGCCTGTAACTTGTATAGGAACTTCCAGTGAATTGTGATAGGATGCTGATGCTGATTTATGTATCTTTGTGCTTTTGTGTAAGAAATGTTGTCGTGATAATTTTGCACCTTATTTAGTACTGCTGTGATGTTTACATCATAGTTTGTCATTGCTATATGTTGTAGGCACACTTGATTCTGCAGTCACATCTGGAGCATACGGAGCAAAGAATTTTCTTTTGAGAGATGGAAAGGAGAGTCTGCCTTGTGTTTTTTATGAAATTGTAAGTATTCCCACTCCTACACACAACACAGACACCACTACCTACAATCCCTTTTAAGAAGTTAATAATATACCGTTCCAATGAAACAGAAAATTACTGTGTAAAAGGAAGGCTAGATATTTATACCTTATTGTTTCCAAACTGTTGTAGAGCAATATCGCAACCACTATTTAGGCATCCTCAGACTTCTGTTTCACCAAAAATACTGATGATGCAGCTGGGACTTTCAGTTCAAATCCTAAATATTTGATAATAGCAAAAAAGCTGTTGTAAATTCCTTCTGTGTTTGATATAGTAATCAGAAATCCACTAACAATCAAACATTTTGAAAGTTTTCATATTAGAAAGGTGATATAATTTTTTGTTTATTATGCTTTTGATGAAGGACCGCGAGCTCCCAAGACTAATTAGAGGTCGAGTGCACAGATGTATGGGAAACTATGACACAAAAAGGAATATTTTCAAGTGCGTCTCTGTAAGACCAGCAACTATTCCAGAACAAAACACTTTCCAAGAATTTGTTAAAATTGCAGATGTTGAGATGACAGCATATGTAAAAACAATGAATGAAATTTAAAACAGTCAAAATGGTTGTCTGAAACCCATTTTCATTCCTTACTACCAAAAAGGCTGGACATCCTAAAGCATTTATCCAAACTAATACTGAAAATGTCATTAAACAATTGCAAATATTACTATGCTATGTTATCCAACAAATGTTAATGACAATATTTTGTTTCCACTATTACTTTTAATAGTTCATATTTTCTAATTATCTGTGCAGGTTTTGTTATGTAGCTGATTAGATTTTACTGGAAAAATTCTGAATTAAAATGTTGAAGTTGCTTATATGTACATAATTTATTTGTATGAACTGTTCCTGCTTAACTAGGATCAGTCAAGTTCTATTTTTCTGGGAAGAAATGGACAGTTCAATCAATTTCATCAAAAAAAAAAACACAAAACACAAACAACCTCACTATCCATGAATCTCTTTCACTGCAAAAATCACAAGGAATACCCCATTCATAGTTCTTTTGTCTGTTATTCCTAGTGGATTCAGATCGTTAAAAGCAGAACAGGTTGATTAGTGACCAGTCAGTGAAGAAAACACTTAATAGTAGAACTATCTTTGACGCATGAGAAGGCGAAATGAGGCAGAATCACAGGTGGCTAAAGGGAATGGAAAATTCCCTTATATCTCATCTTATTCCCTTAATATCTCATTTTCAGAGATGGCCTAAGCGTGCAGGAATTCTCAAATATATTTTGAAAATTTAGGCATCAGGCCCCTACTTCTCTGACACAACTCTGTCTTCCCAAGTAAATCATCTACAGACAACTGTTTTCCACTGTTGGTCGTTTTTTTTTTTTTTTTTTTAAATTTGTTTGTTGCATAGAAGCAATCAATCTAGACCTTTGCCAACAATTTGATGAGTGAAATGTTATTTCTAAATTTTATAATACCTGTCCATTTGCAAATGCAGGTAATTGAAACAAAACCACAAACCTGACTCTCTCAAGTAGTTCAAGTGTCTTAAAAAATGATATCAAAACTAATCCAGATTGCTATTGCCTTTTATCTTCAATTTTTAGAATTTCCTTCAATACCTATTTTCAAAATGTTGACTGTATACTTCCTTTAAGTATTTGTTTGGATCAAAGTTTAAGTAGCTAACAAACATCAAGAAAGTTCTCTTTGGCTCTGTGTAATTTCATTAAAATTACTCTTTTGCAGAAAGTAAGAAGATAGTATATTCCACTTCAATTCCAACTAATGGGTTCCCTTTCCTTTCTGAATAACAAAAATATGTGTAGAATATTTTTTAGAAATGAACATAATAGACATGGAAGAAAAATTTCACAGGATATAGCTACATATTTTAGGTATTCATATGGTTTCCATTCTTATGTTATCAGATTATATTTTTCTTTAAAAACTATGAATCATTATAACACCTGTATAAAATAGCAACATACCTTGAAGCTGTAGGGACATTGTTCAAGGACACATAGGAAGTTGGAGAGAAATAACTACTTAAACACAGAACTTCCTTTCCTTTGCCATAGGAACATCATCTGAGGGATTGACTGTGTATATGTTTATGTGTCTTAGCCTTCAAACATTGACTTTCATAGATTATTCCTGCTGTTTCTGTTTCTTTTTCTCCTTACTTCAATAGCTTTGTACCAAATCTGTTGGGAATTATTTTTTTTGTGTGTGGTTTGTTTGTGTGTTTGTTGTTTATTTATTTATTTTAAAAATAAGATATCAAAATACTGATCAGTGTGATTTTTTTATTATTATTATACAGTGTTGGCAATTGGAAATTTCACATTTAAAATAATTGAAATATTGTATCCAACAAGTCAAATACAGAAAACAGTTAATATTCTAAAAAGGAGCCAGCTAATCAACGCAGAAACACATTAATGGAAAATACAGCTTTTAGTTACACTTAAAAAATTATATATATTTAGAATAAAACTTGAACCTGATCCCAGAAATTTTTTGACTTTTAACAAGAAAACGCTTTACACAGTTTAACTCGCAGACAGTCTTTATTTAAAAAAGTGATCTGTCAGTGTTAGCACATGTATTGTTAGCAACACCCTCTAAATCTGTCAGTTGAGGAGCTAAAGTCACTAACTTAGTTTACTAACTGTAGTAAGAATCATTTCCATTATCATCTCTCTGTTCTGTGCTAAGCTGGTTCTGAGCATGGATTTTTAAAGGAAAGTTTTGGCTATCCAGTTGTAAGGGTGATATACATATACTTGATTTCCTTTATATATTATAAAATATTAAAGAAAGTTCCAAATGGAAGCATTAGTTTAACTCATAAAAGGTGAAGAATATTGCAGAAAGTAGAGTTTGACAATGCTCACAACAGAAGAGTTTGAGTTTTACAAAGTAATGGATTTGGTACAGCGGCAGTTGTAAATTGTAGGACTCCATTATAAAAGTAAGTCAAAGTTACAAAGGAAGCTCGAACTATGGGACCAGACCTGCAAGTATGTGTGTAATCAATATCACACAAATGTAGTTCTAATGATTTCAGTTGATTGATTGATGGTTCCACTTCTGCATATGTAAAAGTTATGTTAAGAAACAATGATAGGAATAGATCATTTGTGTCTACTAAGTATGTTATGGATGTTAATAAAAATCTAAATTAATTTTACTTCCAGTATTTAGAGTTTTGCAAGAAAAAATATTTCTACTTTACACTAACAAATCACTTTTCTAGTGAAACATTAAGTAACAGTCGTAAACATTACACAAAACAGAAAAAACCCTACATAATACAGTTTATACACATTACTTAACATTTTTCAGTTGTTGATTTTTTTTTATCCATATTGATCCTGTCTTGTATAATGGTACTAGTGTAAAGGCACAGGTTGGTTAGGAAAGAAAAGCCTGCCTCTCTGTCTCTCTCTACTTCGTGGTGATGACCTTACCTGTTGTTTGTTATTCCTCACTTTTCTGACTTTTATATGAAAATTATCAATTTCAGCTATTCTTTTAAAACAAAAGTTAAAGACATTACTGAAAAGCACATTACTATACAGAAATGATGGAAATCTCTTTTGCTTATTTTAGAGACATTCCTTCAACATACTTCATTAAATAGTTGGAAGATACAATTCCTTAGTGAGAGCAAAACCATAGTGCTCTCATTCTCAATGTACTTAATTCTACTTCAAAATCTGTATTCAAAGATTAGTAATGGAACTTACTAAGTTTATGTGCAGAATTTGCCTTTAGAGTGCATGACAACAACAGACCATTATCTTGAAAAATAATGCAATGTTCCATTTAAGTTTATAAGTTTGAGGAATGTAAACTAGACTATAGAAGTCTTTGACGTATTAAAATAACACAGTGATTGTTCAATCTGTTTGCATTTTCTTATACATCCTCAACATGTCTCTCTGTCCCTTCATATACACTTTCCATTTAGGGAAAAAAAAAAAAAAGGCAAACTAAATTCAGGAGTTAGTTGGGCTCACTTAAGTGAAAAATAATAAATTTGATCATTTGTTTTTTGCCAAAATACAAAACTGAGAAGTACAGCTCTGAATTAAATATAATCTATCTTTTTGTTAATAAATAATACAAAATAAAATATAGAAAATAGAATTAAAATTCAGATTTTAAACGAAAAACATAATAGTGGGGTGAGAGTAGAACCCAATGTTTTGTTTAAGACGATCAAGTGCACTTATTTCAATCCTTGATAGTAATGAATCCAATGCTACCGAGGAAACTAGACAGATTTCAAATACAAGTCCATGAAATATGTCCATGTGCTAGTTCTGACACAGAATCAGATTCATCATATTTGTTGTGTTCAGTAGCATTTTTTTGTTGTTGTTTTTTACAATAGTGGGATCTTAATATGAATGGAAATAATAGAAACTAGTTAATTCTGGCAAATATTGTCACTACGTACAAGGGCCATAGGGCACATACATTTTGTAAACACAGTGTTTTCTTTACAGCCTTAAAAACAAACAACAACAACAAAAAACGTACAGTTGTCATAGTTCAAGTCATTTTGTAAAATACCACATAAAGTTACAATCCTAAGAAATGTGGATTTTTTTTTTTTTTCAGTTGGTAACCTGTTATATCATCATGGAGCCCTTAGAAGTAGTTAAATCACTTTCTCTGTCTCTCTGAAAAAAGTCATCTAAAATTTATCTTAATGAAGATGACTGTAAATCTTGAAGATTAGATTGGTATTAAAAAGTGTGCTGACAATTTACAATATGGAAGTATTATTAATACATATAGACTAAAAAGAAACTTTTTCTTGTATACAATTCTTTTTAGTTACCAAGCTTAATTTTAGGCCATGGCTACTAGTAGTCTTTTTTCACTAATCAAAATAATTATAACAAAATATCATTATTGGTTTTAAAACTATTGGGTTCATAAAAGTTTTGACATTTAATAATATATAAAAAGTGAATTGAAGCTTTTAAAAGACTTACGGTTTTGAGACACAAATGAAACTTTGGGAGGTAGACAGATGTTTTGAGGATAAACAGATATATTTTTTTTGTCTAAGGCATTATGCCACTGTATGTTTAGAGCAGTAAAAAGGCTGCTGATTAATCTTAGTTCAATTCCAGAGTGTTCGCTACTTATACGTACGGAAGACTATCAATGCACTTTTGGTCTTTGTGAATCTGACCTTCTCTCCCATCTCCTTTTTTTTCCCCTTCTTTTTAGCAATACAGCTAAGTGGAAGTGCTATAATAATTTCTGCCCATTGCCTGTAGACAGGAATGTTCTGTTCTTAAACAGTAATAAAATACTATAAAATAGTAGGTATTGGAGTTGGAGATATGTGCTCTTTTGGTGCATATTTTGCAAAGAATGGTAAAAAGACAGACAGCATGACCCCAACAATTGCCAGCATATACCCCCATCCAATCTGGCAGTCTCCTGCATAGTAGATGTCTGAATTCTCACAGAATCTCTTCACAGTAGCAGAGTTGAAACCAAAAGGGTAAACCAAAAGCCCAGAAGCCATTATGAACACTAGAGAAGAGGAGAAAAACACAGTTATTATTGAACATTTAATTCCTTTGAAAAAAATCCTTGTTTTAGAAAGGCAAATGTTATGTTCAAATCAATGGGAAAAGTTATAGCTTAAAAAAGAACCTTCCAATTGTCATAGTGTTTTCCTTTTCATAATTACCTCTGATGGACAGCAGTGTTATAACATGGCAGCAAGTTGGCATTGGGATATTTTTTCATGAGAACTGTTGCCCGTTATGTAACTTCTGTAATACAGACCATTTAAAAAAAGTAAGATGATTCAGATATAAGGGAATCCAGAGGAGAAGAATTCCTAAGACTGCAGATTCCAAACCAGCCTGATTATCTTTTCAATTGCATTTTCAGATTTGAGACAAACAATAACTTTGTTCTGCCAAATAAAAACTTTCAATGAAAGAGATAAAATAGATTTTTTTCACATGCTGCTGATTAAGTTCTGATAATGTAAGCACTTTCTTATTATTCTCAGTATTAAAAACTCAGTTTGTTTAAAAAAAAAATAAAATCCTGCATTTGACCCAAAGATTGTGAGGTGAAGAAAATATAATTTGTCTTATTTTTATTTGGATTTGAGCATTGGAATCTTTCAGAATGTATTTTCTCTGTAAATTTGAATATTAAAGACCTAAAAATTAAGGCCTAAAGTTTCTGTTATCTGGTTTTGACAGCTTGGGTTTAAAACCATAGAGTGAAGATAACAAGACGTGTTGTAGAATCTGGAGATTCAGTGTAAATGCACAAATTTAAAGTAAGAGGAAAGCTGCGAGTTTTTTACTCCCTAAAGCCAAATACGCTAGCAGATTAATCCAGTGTATAATGAGGAAATGTATCTAAAATGCAAGCAAAGCTTAAGCTACCTCTTGATGTTTGAAAGCCAGACTTGCCACCCGCAATTACAGTGTGTATTACCTGTTAGCTTTTAATAGAGCTTCGCAGATTTTAGTCTTTAGTGAATACGTTATATATTTAAATATCATGGTTTATGCAATTAATGAACAGTAGAACTACTTTTCCAGCTTTGAAAATAAGCCTGTCAAGGTGTAAATCATGGCTCTGATAGAGATGCATTATAATACTCCAGGTACAATGCTCAGGGCCTGGTTTTGTCCACCTTGGAAGTCAAAAGGGGCTGACCGAGGCCGATATGAAGGCTTATGCCATCCCAGCCATTGTAGATACTTCTTGCTTAAAAGAACACTGAGAAATTATTATTTTATTTTTCTTTATTTTGTGCTAATGAGTTACTGCTGTATTTAAAATCTGTAGTGTATTTTAAAAGGCTTTATTTTATGCTTTTTAGGAGGATAATTATGAGGCAGACCCTATTCTGAACTTCTGTTCTTCCAGAATAGCATTTTGTTCAAATTCAAGGTGTATTAGTAATTCAGGAATAGTGGTAACCAGAATTAACTGTTACATTTGAGCAAATAGATAATTCATAACCAGCAAATATTTAATGAAACATTAAGATGATAAAACAAATACTACTTACTATTCTCTGAATTTGTAATTGCCTTTAAGGTAAGGCATGTGCATATTACTCCAATTATAATATTGGAGAGGCTAAGTCTTAGAACTATCCACTAAAAACAACAATCAGTCGTTAATCTTGTTTAATTAAAAAAACTTTAGTAAGTTTGTAGGCTACTTGACCTCAAAAGTTTTAACGTGCTCAGCTTGTAATGTCCCTTAATAATTTGAATAAAACCTTTTCTTCTAGTCTAAGTGGAACCACGGAGTTAATCCTTGTAAAAAACAGTAAGACCACGAAAATAGAACTTAAAAGGAGAGAAACTGGAACAGAGGCAAACTTGCAAGTCTGTTTCCCTCTAGGGTAACTCTTGTAAGGGTACAAAGAGAAACTGCCTGCCAGTAAGTGGAATTCTCTGAGAGCAGGTGCTTTTCCCTTGCTCCCACACCCACTCTAATTCCCTTTCATCACCTTTGTGAATGGTAAGGTTACACTGATTCACAAGGAAAGAACACAGTGGCTTTCCCCTCTTTCCAGGTTTAAGGTGTACGAAGGTGTCGATGCTACATACAAGGTCCTTCGTAGCCCAGCCAACACCTTCAGCGCATGCCTTTCATTCCATGACATTTAACCAGAGGGAGTCCAAGATGCTGAGCACTGTACAATTCTTAGCAGCTGTGCTTGTGTGCTCAGACTCTACTGTTAAACAAACATACAGAAACTGAAGCTAAATACAAAGAAATTAGTTGTATTATGCAGAGCTACCTTAACTGCACATATTAGACCACTTAAAATAATACAAAAAATAAATACAAAGTGAAGCTAAACTAGACACATACACAACCTTCTTATCTATCAAAGGTCACTGAGCTTTCCCAAAAGAAGAAAAAGAGCTAAGGGCCAGCACGCTTTCTTTGTTCATTAAAAAGTTGTGGCACACTTGCATGGCCAAGAAAATTTATAGAGTACCATCTCTGTGGAATGGAACATAGAAAGCAATCTCGGTGAACAAACAGAGGACTTTTCCTAATGTTATTGTAAAGTTTGAATGTTAAACATCTAAGCTGAGCTGTATACTAAACTGGTATCAACCCATAAAACTATTTAGGCTGTAGCATTTGCTTGTGGGCTCAGATGGGAAGTGGAACAACATACTATTGAAAAGGCTGTGATGTAAAGTGGATTTGCAGCACAGACCCACTCAGAACCCACACTGCATGACTGCATTAAAAATCTTGAAATAACCATATGGTGGAAAAACTTCTGTAAAATGCTAGGGCTGTTTGCAAAGGAAAGCAAATGAGTTTTAAGAGAAACAGAAACTTCTCTAAGCAAGAATCAGGTCTAAAAGCAAAATTTCAGTTCATTCACCTTTTCAAAGCCAAAATAATCCACACATCTCATTCAGCTGAAGAAGTCATTATGCACAATTGGAAGTAATCTTTTTATCATAAAATCCCTTTAAACTTTGCTGTTAGAATTTGCTGTTTTTCTGACAGAATCTCAGTTCTCCTGCTCTACTTCATAAATCTGTCCGTGTATATGTTTTCTTTTTTTGTTGGGTAACCCAGCTACAGAGTTATTTTGAAGATTGTGCTTTACAGTGACACTAATGTTTTGATTACTTGGTGCTGATGTTTTTGTTTTTATAGTTTGATTTAATAGAAGAAGCTTTTTTATTATATATATTTTTTTTGTAAGGATAGAAATAATCTGTGACAGTTGAATGTAATGTGTTCACATATCAAATGGGCTAAAAAGTTACTCATGGTTTCATATCCTCAGGCATGTCACAGAATGGCCTCATTATTCTCATTTAGGTGCCCTCTTTCTTACAAAGGCTCAAAATATT